TTGCTTACTAAAGGAGAGTCTAATGTGTTTGGCATCACCTGTTTCTATTTTGTGATGATGTAAGTGAGTATGTCTTCATCCTGACCAATCTGAGGCAAAAACTGATCTTTGTTTGTAGAAATGCATTTTATTGTATACTTGTACTTTCACTATTGTCACTATGATTAAAATGCGTTTGAGGACAAAGACGTTCAGTGGTATTGCCCAGCGCTGTCTATAAATGTCGATTAACACCTTCTTATGTCGCCACGTTTTATCTTATGCTTCATTATACTGCTATTTTCATTGTTCTGTTATAAAATCACCTAAATACGTACAGTAATAATGTTTTAGTGAACAGTGAGAAACTTTAACATTCGTCCCATAGGTTGAATTTGAAATGTGCCATCAAAAAAAATCTCAGCTCTCATTTAAGAAGAAAAAAAATCTCAGCCCCTAAAAGGGAAGAAAGAAAAAACGTGACCCCCTCCCCCCTTATGGTGGGCATACCCAATATTGAGTCATGGAGGGTCATCGGATTGGTTTGTGTCATCAGCCGTAATGATACACAGTCGTCGCGATCCGCTGTGCAGAGTTGCGTCCCTTGGGCACGCCAGAAACCTATGATTGTGGGTTCGAAACCCGTTTCGCCCCGATTATGTTTCTAGGCTTGTGAGCACCATACCCGTGCTCGTGGGGTTCACCGAAGTGGTAAACGTCTCAGACCTCACAGTATTTTTTGATAAAAATAAGCTTCAGCATTGATACCGCTTTAAAAAAAAATAGCTGTTTCAGTCAAAGGTGGTAATACTTAAAATATTGAAAGTATTCCAAAGTAATGTAGAATCATCATTCACCTTTCAAGGTGAGGTGAAATGGGATTTAACGTCGCGTCCAAGATTATTGCACTTATATAGCGACGTGCATGCACGTGTGTGTGTGTGTGTGTGTGTGTGTGTGTGTGGCTGCTTGTACTAGACCGGGCTGATGCCGATTTATAGTGCTAGCTCACTGAGATACTTTGCCGCAGTTTAACTTGAATACCTTGAATATACTGACTCCGAGCCGACCAGTCCTTGTTTTTGCCCCTTAATGCCGAGCGCCAGAGAGGATAGTAACAAGTACCATCTTTTAAGGTATTTTGATTTGATGCGGCCGGGGATCGAACCCCGGACCTTCCGCTCTACCACTAGACCATGGAGGCGGTTGATACCATAAGGAACCTACCATACAGTACGTATTAATCATCCTGCTCCAATAAGCGCCTCCTCACCAACATCTTCCCGAGGCAAGAGAGTTAACTGACTATAAACGTCCAGTTTCCACCCTTGCCGAACTAGGCTGGTATTATGGAGTTGCATTTTGGCTGGACTAACGAGTCTATGCATTGTCCAATCAAAATCGCGCACTGAAATCGAAATCCGGTTCGTAAAGTGTCATGCAGATTTCGGTCGACTGCAGGATTTGCAAAGCATGTGCACCGCTAACTCGTTGTCAACAGATATTTTCTAAATCTTTTCATGATTTTAATCAAGGTGCTCACGTGATTTGATGCACTTCGCGATGTAAGACTCGTTTTATCACAATATAGATCTTCATTATCAATCAGATCGTCTTGACTGGGCACCACCGTTTTGTTTGAAACAAATGCAAGTGATACGAGAGGTTGAATCTGATTGGTCAATAGGAGAGGCATAGAAAGGACATGACTCGTAATAGCCACTGGTGGCGCTCTGATCGAGCCCAGGAATTCCAGCCTAGTTCGGCAAGGGTGGAAACTGGACTTTTAAAGTCAGTTAACTCTCTTGCCTCAGAAGATGCCTCACCAACTTCTACACCAACTTGTAAATAATTTGTATTAGCGCCCCCTACGAAGACCGAAAGAGTAGATGCCTTACCAACAGGAGGTGAGGTGAGGTGAAATGGGGTTTAACGTCGCGTCCAAGATTATTGCACTTATATATTGCGTGCATGCACGTGTGTGTGTGTGTGTGTGTGTGTGTGGCTGCTTGTACTAGTCCGGACTGATGCCGATTTATAGTGCTAGCTCACTGAGATACCATGCGGCAGTTTAACAGGAGTCAGCAGCATAGAAGGGGTATATCACTGCCTGGTAACTTATCCAACAGGTTTAGTTTCACAGCAGTTTGTTCACTATCCCTCAATATCTGAAAACAAATTTAACTCATTGAATATGGACCCGTGAAGATCCAGGATAGAATACGTCTTCAGCAACACGTGCTTGCTGTAGGAGGTCAGGGGGGTGGTCAGGCTTGCTGACTTTGTTGATGACTGCAATTGTATCCCAATTGCGTGGATCAATGCTCATGATATCAATCACTGGATTATTTATACAGACCACCGTCACAAAGCTGGAATATTGTTGAGTGCTGTGTTAAACACCGTCACAAAGCTGGAATATTGCTGAGTGCCGTGTTAAACAACAAACAAAATCATTGAATAAGTTATCATAAGGCACTTTTCTAGGGGATCAGAGAGCTTATAACAAACAGGGTAAGTCTAGTTGTGACCTCAGACCAATGTGTCTCCCTGGTCAGTTTGAAGATGTCTATGAATAACAAGTCATGTCGAGTCAACACTTTATACATGATTTATTCCATTTAAAAACAACCACTGATCAGCCGACTCCTTGGTCAGCAAGCAAACAGCCTCTCTGCTTCTCCAACAGTTAAAAAAAAATCAAATCAAAGAAAACTGCGAAGACGAGCCTTCATTCAGATTCTATCAACGAATTTAAAAATGTCCATAATTTTTCAGTAACCCGTCAATCGCACATTCATACAAACATGCACACCAATAACCCAGGCACAATTTGCGCCTAAATCTCACACACAATACACATAACCATGGCAACGAACAACATCATTCATTCTTGCATACCATAGCTTAGCATTAAATGGTTCTGTGCTGTCACAGATTCACAGATCACGATCCTGATGTGTGTAAACACCTGAATCAATGAATAATTAAGAAAGTGATGTCGCTACAGGTTTGAAAATAGTTTTGTAAAACATTGTCATAAACTGGCACTAAATAATTATTAAAAACACATTAAATTTTGGAGATACCAGACTATTCTCTCCTAGCACACTTTCACAGATTCTAAAAACAGATTTTCTCGGACAGAATGGACCACACATCTCAAGGGGACATAACTCCGAACAATGTGACAACCTCACCGAATCACACATCAATGACCATTTGCTTCATGTAGAAACGACAACAGGGCAGTACACAAGTAGTAATTCATGTCTATTAGTTGACGACGCACACATTTGTTTCCAGACTTCACGCACTCCAACATCACATGCACTGGTAATACTCCCATCAACAGTCTTCGCCACACTTGAAAAATAGTTCCAAGAAAGGTTCCTCCAGTCATGTATTCACAATGTACCAATGTACAAGTTCTGTACAAGTCTATTTCACAAAGTCACAAGAATTTCTTTCTTTGAATTGACACAGTCCCAATTGCAGGTGACCAAGATTATCTTTCGGCAAGTAACAGCTGTCCCAGTCCATCGACCTCAATCTTCCCATGCACAGTTCTTCTTCCTCCTTCCAAAAAACCACCATTTTTTTCCTCTGTGTCTTCAAAAGTCACAAACAAGTATTTCCCTAAACTCTTCCATCTTGCTGTACAATTTTTTAACAAATTTCCTAATTCAACAACCCTAATGCTACTGGTAACTGGCAACTTGAGCTAAACAGGTCTTGTTCATGAAACTATCTTTTTAAACAGGGTTACCTCCCTTGCTAACACAGTCCCATAATCCTTTCAGGAAATGTGAACAGCTTTCAAGGGAGATAACTCTGTCAACACTAACCTTAATGCTTGTTCTGCAAAAAGTCAGAAATCATGACAATAATGTCCTCACTAATCAGTGTTCCTGAATTCAAATCATTTGTGTTTTACTCAAAATGAATATCCTTCTCAATAAATACCAATCTCAATAAATTCAGATCTTAGTTCTCGCTACCGCTAAACAAAGATCTGAGGACATCCCATTAGGGGTCAGGTCAGAACGACCTTTCATCCGACCAATCAGAGCGTCGCTTACCAGATCATGAAAGTGACAGTCGGAATGTGATTTCTAATCATGCAACCTCGAAATCTTTAAAATGGGGTATTCCGAACGATAATTACGGGCTTAACGACTGAATCTATACAATCTAGACCATATATTAGCCATTCCAGAATGTTCTTTTGATCAGGTTTCAAATCTTTAAGTGAGAATTTGTCAAAATATCTTTCGAAGGGTAGTTGCCAATTTGAAACAAGTGCCGTAAAGCATGAGAAAGCTGCCTTCTGATTGGCTAATGTCGACTTCTTGTCAGTAATTCCATTGGTCGGTCAGAGTTCGCGAAAGGTCAGTCTGACGTGACCCATAATGGGATGTCCTCAGATCTTTGTTAAGCAGCAATGAGAACTAAGATCTGATTTTAATGAGATTGAATAAATACAATGCCTTGTTTCCTTCTAAATACAAGTAAAGCCTTAGTGAAACACTCACATGGTAATCTTACATACAGTCGTGTCACATGTTGCCAGGAGAGGTGTGTGCATGCAAGCCATCTTGAGCTGCTTGAACAAGAAGACCCCTTCAAAGAGGAGACAACCCATTATAAGCCTGATAATAAATAAATATGATTGTCATACATTCTCCATGTTGGAAGTCCAGCAACGTGTGGGAGGGGGGTTGGTTGGGGTGGGGTGGCATTTCTGTTTAGTTGTAGGTTTGGCAATATCATTTGGGAGATGCCCTATTTGAGAAGTTTACAGGGGTGACAACTGTCACAAGCAAGCTAGCCCCAGTCAATTTGTTTAATGTTAAAACTATTCTGTAGGTTTGGTGTTTCTTAGGCATGTCTATTTTGTGAAGAACATATTTCAGGTTAATAGGCATCCCTGAATATTCGACAATGCACATTCAGTTTAAAAAAACAAAAACCTCAAACAGGTAATGACAATTTAAGTTGAGTGATTTTTTTTCGGTCAGTTCTAAAAGGCAAACCAACACTTTGAAACTACTCGGACGTCAGACTTAGGACAGAGTACAGAAGAGTTGGGTTGGTTGAAGAGGTTCAGAGTCAGAGGTCAATGAGTTGGTCGGGGTGAGTGAGTGAGTGAGTTGGACTTAATGCTACTTTTAACACTTATCCATTTATAACACATGTCAGCTAATGTGATAGGAAAGCTGAAGTGATGGAGGTCTCAGATATATACTGCTTGTGTGAAACCCACAAGCATGGGTATGGTTCCGTCGAACCTTGAAACATAATCGGGGTGAACCAGGATTCAAACCCACAATATTAGGTTTCTGACATGTCCAAAGGATGCATCGCCACACAGAGCTGCAGTGCCTTATATGACTGGAGTTTGTCAGAAGAAGTATTGTATAAGCCCTCATTTATTTAAATTCAACGGAAATGTACGTAGACACAGTTGTGACACTAGATATATTACCCTCTTGCTCCATATTGCATTATCAGTGCACTACAAGTCACCTTCAGAAAACTGAAGCATCCGTTACCGTTATCACTTTAATTTGAAAAGTTCTAATTCCAATTTGAAACTTGTATTCAAACTTTGCTGTGATCGAACTTTGACAATGCCTTGACAAGTCCCCGGTGGGTGGAAGAGGGTGTTTCAGAAGTGTGAGGGAAGCGTCACAAGTTCACGCGTGAGAAATGCAAGAAATAAAGTACCTATGGCCCTCTGGTTCATACAACCATGAAAGCCAGGCATTAATGACCATAAGAATAGGAACGTAAGGGGAAATTGATAAACGCTGAATCAGCCATTTCTCGGTGGCTCCAGCCCATTACACAACATTTAGCAATAACCGAGTCAAGTCCCAGTTGGTCCATAAAGAAGGATAGAAGCTCAAAGGATGGCCTTTTTCATTTTTCAGCTCAACTTGCCTCCCTTGTTTTATTTGAACGTCCACCAATCTCATTAAAATCAGATCTTTACTCCGATATGATACCTCTCTCCGTGATGATCTGAGGACACCCCTATCGGAGGTTGCATCAGATGATCTTTATAATCGACCTATCAGCATTGAGGATTCTAAATTCTCAGTACAAGTGAGAGAAACATTCAGGCCAGCATATCTGATTTACATACCTCGAAAACACAGGACAAGCTCCAAATATGGATAAATAAGGCCACACCAACATATCATTATGGATATTTATACACCGTCTTTTCTTTTCTTCGCGACATGGCATCTAAACCCAAAACGAGTACCATTGAAGAAGTGTTTTTGTTCATTGGGGTTGGTTTCTACAAATCGAAGCGAGGTGGTGAAGAATGAAACCGAATAATTTGAATGAGATTGGTCAGACAACGAAAGAGTTAAAGTTATACAACCATTTCCTGGAACATGCAACATGGCCGCCCTAGACTCGTGGGCAGTACTGATCAACACAGGCGACATATCTTTGGTATAGCTTCACCGCTGTGAGGACTGTTTTGAAGTGTAAACAAGCAATGACATGTTATGTCAGAATTTCGGTAAACAAAAATCAAACTTTTGTCTTCTCAAGACACATTTTCTCCACCCCAAACCCGTTATTGCGGTAATATTACAATCACATATACTCCTATATGGAATAAAGATTGACACACAGTTTGTAATGTCCTGTCCATGGGGACCGGTGAAACTGATGGTACTTAAAGGTACCTCGTCAAAAGATTCACTGCAGGCAAGCACCAACTTCATCCACATCTTGAGTAATTTCAGCACCATATTGGGAACTGACAATGTTAGTATGTCACTTAAAGTCCAATTTGTAAGCCTGTTAACAATAATTTCCTGTTTTATCAGTATCACAGTTGATTAGCATTGATTACCCTATTCACACAAAGAAAATGTCTCCATTTCACTCACGCCTGGTTTGATAGGACGTAACATTCTGCATCCAAGATGCCAACAAGAATGGACACTAATAATAGCTACGGTACTATGAGTCCGAGTGGACACAAAAGAGTATGGATCTCAGGATGATAGAACCTACTCAAAGTGAAGCATAATTTCAGATAAGAAATTTAATCAATTTTCGGATAGTCTATATCAGGTTTTCTTCCCGTAATCCATAAGTTTCTTTCGATTGAATGAAATCCTTTTTTCTTAGTAGCATAAGGCACCTACCCATTATATGATAATGTATTTTTTTGGATGGCATAGTGGACACCTTGGTCAGCAACTCGGCATATGTCACTAATTAAACTGTCTGGACCTACACTGGAATGGCAGACCATTCTACCTTAGCCCTTTCATGAACTTGTCTCTGGATATAGTTTCAAATGGATCTTAGTTTCCAACAGTGGTCCAGCTTACAATACCAAAACATATCTTACAGGCACTGACATGAGATTTATGGCTAAATTATGTTTCTATGGGAACAGGGACATATTCATGCAATAATAGTGTCATGTGATGATATGCAATTGGTGCTATGATACATTAATTTATAAAGGCCCATTGAAACAAATAATACTGTACATTACCACACATGAACAATGTTTTGAATGTTATCAATTGTTTTCAAAATCAGGAACGTCACTGATATCAGAAAGGAACCTACATGTGTTGAGAATTTCATCCAAAAAAAACTCTGGATAGCGTTATGTCAAATACATGCCAAAGTTGCCATCTAGCTAATTCTAGAGGTGGTAGTCCCCCCCAAAAATGTCACTTGTCCTTCCTGAATTTTACTGGTCTAAGATGAGCATATTCAATTTTGATTCAGAATTCAGTCAATTACGCCACGCTGTTTGCGTTGCCTAGATATTTATGAAGACAAGCAGAAAATCTTTCCAATTGATCTTCATCGGAAGGGGTCTGACCTGATTGTAACTCCAATACTGGAATATAGACTAAAGGCTTTCGCTGAGCTGAGGGGGCAGTGGGGTAGCCTAGTGGTTAAGCGGTCACTCGTCACGCCGAAGACCCGGGTACAATGTGTGAAGCCCATATCTGGTGTCCCCCGCCGTGATATTGCTGGAACATTGCTAAAAGCAGCGTAAAACCATACTCACTCACTCACGAAAAGGCCTGAGCCAAGGATGTATACTACGCCCTTAACAGTTTCCGTTATGAATACTTTTCTATACACAACCAGGCAGCTTATTTCTGCAGGCATCGGTTTGTGGGTTTGGGGCCCAGGTCTTTACCAATTGGGTAAAAGTCACTTGATCCATAACACATATCCATTTCCTGGACATCGTTGTACAAAACAACCATAGCGCTACGACTGCCGTAAGTCTGTGTTAAGGTATGGGAGTTACGATCACCTTAGCGCTAAGATCGCTTTGTGGAACAGGGCTCAGGTCTTTACCAATTTGGTAAAAGTTACTTGATCCATAACTCATATCCATTTCCTGGACATCGTTGTACAAAACAACCTTAGCGCTACGACTGCCGTAAGTCTGTGTTATGGTATGGGAGTTACGATCACCTTAGCGCTAAGATCGCTTTGTGGAACAGGGCTCAGGTCTTTACCAATTTGGTAAAAGTTACTTGATCCATAACTCATATCCATTTCCTGGACATCGTTGTACAAAACAACCTTAGCGCTACGACTGCCGTAAGTCTGTGTTATGGTATGGGAGTTACGATCACCTTAGCGCTAAGATCGCTTTGTGGAACAGGGCTCAGGTCTTTACCAATTTGGTAAAAGTTACTTGATCCATAACTCATATCCATTTCCTGGACATCGTTGTACAAAACAACCTTAGCGCTACGACTGCCGTAAGTCTGTGTTATGGTATGGGAGTTACGATCACCTTAGCGCTAAGATCGCTTTGTACAACGGCACCCTGGTCTACATTAAGACGCTGTCATTACAGGTGAATTTAATCCTTTCAAGGTTTCCACAAGTGTGGTTTGTGACCCGCATACCACTTAACTTCAGATAGGGACATTGCTATTATTCCATGATATAACAAACTGATAATTTATTATGGATATGTAAACAGTATGAATATCTTGCCATCCCTTTCAAAAGTTAAGTGGTATATATTCACGTCTTAAGAGTTATACACCATTTGGAACAGAAACAAGCAGTACCGATGGGACAGAAAGGCTCACTAAAACCCACAAGGAATCAAAACTGGATATTCAGTGTGATGGGCTGAGGCTACCTACTCCACTCTCTTCCCTTAAAAATATCCAACCTCATATAAACAAGTAAGATCAATTACAACATATATTTTGTCCATATTTCGTCAAAACATTATTCACAAGTAAGTGTCAATATCTGTTGTGCATATATTAAGTCAGGGAAATTTTCGGAGACAATAAAATTCAGACATTTCAACTCTTGATGGAGCATTCTGTTATTTCATTTAAAGGACATTTTGAATGGCAATCAGCAAATGTCCAAGAGTGAGTGAGTGTTTTAAGCCACTTTTAGATTAATTTCAAGAATTTTATCATGGCAGGGGACACTGAAATGGGCTTCACTTATTGTACCCATAAGGAGAATCAAACCCGAGCCTTCGGTGTGAAAAGTGAACACTTTAACCACTAGGAGTGAGTGAGTGAGTGAGTATGGTTTTATGCCACTTTTAGCAATATTCCAGCAATATCCCAGCAGGGGACACCAGAAATGGGCTTCACACAGTGTACCCATGCCAGGAATCGAACCCGGGTCTTCGGCATGACGAGCGAACACTTTAACCACTAGGCTACCCAACCACCCCTTTAACCACTAGGCTACCCACTGCCCTAGGGAAATAATCCTACTGAAACCCAGCAATAATATATTTGCATCATTCTTCAGTTATTTTAACCTAATTTTTCAATGCGCTATTTTTCTGGTGGATGAGGATGAAGTCGGTGACAGTGAAGCGAGTGCCAGGTACCCCTACGACTTGGTTTCATTACCCACGGAAACGTGCACTGAAGGAAGTTAATGGGTGAACGTCAGGGTCAGGACACAGGTTGTTATTCTCACAGGATATCTACATGAGTTGGGACCGTTGAATATGTACATATCACGTTAAACACACTTGGTTTTCAGCACTGCTTGTGGAATCATCACACCCGCTCGTAATTCACATCTGAAAGCATTTCTCACAGTCGCACATATCACATGACGTAGAAGAACACCTGGTGTCGGGCCAAGGTTGACTCACAAATATGACGAAGGCTGTCATGTCGCATGGTGCTTGTGTCTCGCCGATGGAACACCTGGTGTCGGTCGACTGTTGACTCTCACAAGACACAGCAGTTATCTGGACACGGCTCATGACACCTGGACACAACACGCGACACCTGGATACAACACGCGACACCTGGTGTTGTGACACATCCGTCCGAGTAGACCAGGTCATGATGTATGGCACTTTAGGTATCCAATTACGTTGCTGAAACTTGGAGAACGTCACATGACACTTTGATAATCCCACTCCTCCTCCTGGTAGGTAAGGTTGTGTCACATGAAGTGATGTGGATCCAGACACAAAGAGATGCCTTGAGGGCTAGCACGTGTCGCCATGTAATGTGATAGGGCGCCTCAGGGCTTCACTCTCATCTCACTGTCCAGAGGACTGTTTGGGCCTCCATGAAGAAGCCTTGGATCTAAATCATGATCCTTTGAATCTCCATGAGCTACCCTTTGGGCCTCATGACAATTTGAATCTCTGCGACGACACCTTTTGGCCTCATGCCGACCATTTGGGTCTCCATGACGACACCTTGGATCTCCACGACGACCCGTTGGGCCTCCTTGATGACACACAGATCTCCATAACGACACCTTTGGGCCTCACAACCGTTTGGACCTCCTTTTAGCCTCTATGACGACACCTTGGATCTCCATGACGACACCTTGGATCTCCATGAAGACACCTTGGATCTCCATGACGACCCTTGCACCAGTATTTGAGGGCCCCATCACATGCATTCCTGTATGCAACTCCGCGAGCGTGATCACTGGATGTCTCACAGCAAAATAGTTTAGAAATATGGCGAGGCAGGATGATTCATTTATTTTCTTGAAAGTAAAGTCTTGGAAATGGTTACCATGGATACCAAGACAAAACCATGGCAACAGGCTTCCAATGCAGTGAGCTTGCATATGTGGTTATCTCCACAACAAAGGGAGATTGAATGCTATGACGAGTTTGACCCAGATGCAGTTGGTCTGTAGCGACTGCTTCAGACATTGTTTGGCCTTTTCCCAGAAGTGTCCCCTATGTTGAGCTATGAGTATTTATCCCCGAAGGAGAATGACGGAGACTGATTCAGGTTGATGGTCGGTCCCTGTGTCGAGTTGCTGCTCCCTGGTGACTGACTCACCAGGCTGTTGTCCAGATGTCTGAAACAGAAGCCTTCGTATCAGGACTACATAGAACCAGCTCCCTGACTGGCAAGTCAGTTTTGCAAACATTCAACCTTACACGAGCCATCTGATTGCCCAGTGACTGTCTTGAAAACATTCGCCCATACACGAGCCATTTGATTGGTCAGTCAGTCGTGCAAACATTCATGCAAACACGAGCCATTGATTGGGCAGTCAGTCATGCAAACATTCACCCATACACGAGCCATTGATTGGTCAGTCAGTCATGCAAACATTCAGGCAAACACGAGCCATTTGACTGGTCAGTCAGTCATGCAAACATTCAGGCAAACACGAGCCATTGATTGGTCAGTCAGTCATGCAAACATTCACCCATACACGAGCCATTGATTGGTAAGTCAGTCATGCAAACATTCAGGCAAACACGAGCCATTTATTGGTCAGTCAGTCGTGCAAACATTCATGCAAACACGAGGCATTGATTGGTCAGTCAGTCGTGCAAACATTCATGCAAACACAAGCCACTGATTGGTCAGTCAGTCATGCAAACATTCACGCAAACACAAGCCACTGATTGGTCAGTCAGTCATGCAAACATTCACGCAAACACAAGCCATTGATTGGCCAGTCAGTCTTGCAAACATTCACCATTACACAAGCCATTTGATTGGCCAGTCAGTCTTGCAAACATTCACCATTACACAAGCCATTTGATTGGCAAGTCAGTCTTGCAAACATTCACCATTACACAAGCGATTTGATTGGCTAGTCAGTCTTGCAAATATTCACCCTTACACAAGCCATCTGATTGGCCAGTCACTGTCTCACGAACATTCACCATATGATTGGAATTCTCCGAGTTAAACCTCCCATTCGGTCTCAGGGTACAAAATTATTCAGCTTGTATATGTTACAACACAACATTTAATTTATACTACTCAAAAGAAGTCCAAGAAATCCCGAGTTAATCTGTCTTGGCTGGTGGGTATTGCAACACAGCCTCCCAATTGTGGGTGTTCCTAACTTATTTTGAGCAGTATATTTAAAAAACAAATCAATCAATGAAAAGGCTTCATAATCCATTAGATGAACATTTTTTACTTCATGAGACATCACCATACCTGTTTCTTATCTTAAAATCAAACAATAAATATTAACTTTCAATAATAAAATTTCATTACCATATTCGACGTAATAAGCTCCCCGCTCTAATAAGCGCCCACGGCGATATTTGCTGATATATTGGCTAGTGAACAATCCCAATTAGCACCCATTCCGATTGATCAATGTACACAAGACTTATTTATTCGGGTATAATACACACTCGTGTGTTTTATTCACCCTTAATTATGGGCAATTAAATTCTGGGAAAATATATCTGTCGTACATAAACATTTCAGGCTGTCACTATAAACCATGAAATTTATCTTTCAACTCTATTCACCAACATAATATTCTAATAAGAGCCCCCTATTTCTAATTTTGAGAGCGCCCTGGGCGCTTATTACGTCGAATACGGTACTTTAAATTAAATAAGATCAGTGTAAGTTATGAAGTGATGAATCTACAAGTTACAGGGATGAGCTGTTTGTAAGGAGGAGGCAGAGGTCACTCACTCACTTGGATTTGAGTTGTGGGGGTTTCAGATAGTCATCCTGAGCAAGCATCAGCACGTCGGGCCGGAAGTCCTTCTTGTACTGAAGACAGCGCCGGATAAATGCCTGCAACATTGGAGAGGAGAATCAACCATTTGAACATACTGCCAGAGCACTGCCAGAGCACTGCCACTCACACATTTAAAGGGGGATACATTAGTTTCTGACAAGACTGGTGTTTTGAAACGTTTCTGTCTTAGCTTCTGACATAACTGGGTTTTGGAGGATCGTACCTTAGCTTGTGACGAGGTGGGGTGGGTGGGGGATAGAGGGGATTTGGGAGGGACGTACCTTAGCTTTTGACGACGTGGGGTGGGTGGGGGATAGAGGGGATTTGGGAGGGATTTACCTTAGCTTCTGATGAGGTGGGGTGGGTGGGGGATAGAGGGGATTTGGGAGGGATTTACCTTAGCTTCTGATGAGGTGGGGTGGGTGGGGGATAGAGGGGATTTAGCAGGGACGTACCTTGGATTCTGACAAGTTGGGGTGGGGGATAGAGGGGATTTGGGAGGGACGTACCTTGGATTCTGACAAGGTGGGGTGGGCATAGAGGGGATTTGGGAGGGACGTACCTTAGCTTCTGACGAGGTGGGGTTTGGGGATAGAGGGGATTTAGGAGGGACGTACCTTAGCTTCTGATGAGACGGGGGGTTTAGGAGGGAAGTCAACCTCTGTAGCTTTAAGAATTGTGTTCTCCTCCAAGATGGCCGCCTGAGACAAGTTGTGGCCAAATGGCTGAAAACACAACAGGCAATATAAGAACAAAATCAAACTACTTCAACTGATAAATATATGTAACAAGTGTGTTTGCAATTGGGATCGATGACGTGCATCAACCAAGTCAGCGAGCCTGACCACCTGATCCCGTTAGTCGCCTCTTACGACAAGCATAGTCGCCTTTTACGGCAAGCATGGGTTGCTGAAGACCTATTCTACCCCGGATCTTCACGGGTCCAAACACTTTAGTTCCCAATATATATTGCAATACATATCGCAGTACAGATACCTGTATCACAATAGTGAGTGAGTATGGTTTTATGCTGCTTTTAGCAATATTCCATCAATATCACGGCAGGGGACACTGAAATGGGTTTCACACATTGTACCCATGTCGGGAATCGAACCCAGGTCTTCGGTGTGATGAGCGAACACTTTAACCACTAGGCTACCCGACCGCCCCTGTATCACACTATATTGCAATAAAAAAACAATTGGCCAATACACAGCCCTATATACAGTGAGTGAGTGAGTGAGTATGGTTTTACGCCGCTTTTAGCAATATTCCAGCAATATCACAGCGGGGGACACCAGAAATGGGCTTCACACATTGTACCCATGTCGGGAATCGAACCCGGGTCTTCGGCGTGATGAGCGAACGCTTTAACCACTAGCCTACCCGGCCCCCCTGCCCTAAATACAGGTGACCTAGTGAAGCCAACCTACCTTTTTACCATACAGACACTGGTAGAATATCACACCGACCGACCACACATCAACTTTGGAAGAAATCTTTGGCGGCGTTTTACCCACAACAAAACACTCGGGGGGCAAGTACCTGCAGAACAAACACAGATATGATTGGCAGAGTAAACAATTCTGAATCAAGTTCTCCTCTCATAGGAGCCAGTGTTCTTTTGTCTGGTGTTTAATGTCAGAGCAAAATCTTCACAATATCACAGCGGCCAGTACACAACTGAGTCTGGGTTAGGAAACTTTGAAGTTAGCAATTTCCCATGTCATCAGGGTACGAGGAATTACAATCAACAAAGTCATGACCACAATAATACAACAATTTGACACACTGACAGACAATCAGACACACTGACATACAATCAGACCCACTGACAGACAAATAGATGCACTGACAGACAATTTGACACACTGACAGACAATCAGACACACTGACATACAATCAGACACACTGACAGATAAATAGATGCACTGAAAGACAATCAGACACACTTACAGACAATTAAACACACTGACATACAATCGGACACACTAGCAGACAATTTGACACACTGACAGACAATTTGACACACTGACAGACAATCAGACACACTGACAGACAATCAGACACACTGACAGACAAATAGATGCACTGAAAGACAATCAGATACACTGACAGATAAATAGATGCACTGAAAGACAATCAGACACACTTACAGACAGACAATCAGACACACTGACAGACAGACAATCAGACACACTGGCAGACAATCAGACACACTGACAGACAAACAGACACACTGACAGACAATCAGACACACTGACAGATAAATAGATGCACTGAAAGACAATCAGACACACTTACAGACAATTAAACACACTGACATACAATCGGACACACTAGCAGACAATTTGACACACTGACAGGCAATTTGACACACTGACAGGCAATTTGACACACTGACAGACAAATAGATGCACTTACAGACAATCAGACACACTGACAGATAAATAGATGCACTGAAAGACAATCAGACACACTAGCAGACAATTAAACACACTGACATACAATCGGACACACTAGCAGACAATTTGACACACTGACAGGCAATTTGACACACTGACAGACAGACAATCAGACACACTGGCAGACAATCAGACACACTGACAGATAAAAAGATGCACTGACAGACAATTTGACACACTGACAGACAAACAGACACACTGACAGACAATCAGACACACTGACAGATAAATAGATGCACTGAAAGACAATCAGTCACACTTACAGACAATTAAACACACTGACATACAATCGGACACACTAGCAGACAATTTGACACACTGACAGGCAATTTGACACACTGACAGGCAATTTGACACACTGACAGACAATAGATGCACTTACAGACAATCAGACACACTGACAGATAAATAGATGCACTGAAAGACAATCAGACACACTTACAGACAATTAAACACACTGACATACAATCGGACACACTAGCAGACAATTTGACACACTGACAGGCAATTTGACACACTGACAGACAAATAGATGCACTTACAGACAATTAAATACACTGACATACAATCAGACACACTGACAGACAATTTGACACACTGACAGACAATCAGACACACTGACAGATAAATAGATGCACTGAAAGACAATCAGACACACTTACAGACAATTAAACACACTGACATACAATCGGACACACTAGCAGACAATTTGACACACTAGCAGACAATTTGACACACTGACAGACAATCAGACACACTGACAGACAAATAGATGCACTGAAAGACAATCAGACACACTTACAGACAATTAAACACACTGACATACAATCGGACACACTAGCAGACAATTTGACACACTGACAGGCAATTTGACACACTGACAGACAAATAGATGCACTTACAGACAATTAAACACACTGACATACAATCGGACACACTAGCAGACAATTTGACACACTGACAGGCAATTTGACACACTGACAGGCAATTTGACACACTGATAGACAAATAGATGCACTTACAGACAATCAGACACACTGACAGATAAATAGATGCACTGAAAGACAATCAGACACACTAGCAGACAATTAAACACACTGACATACAATCGGACACACTAGCAGACAATTTGACACACTGACAGGCAATTTGACACACTGACAGACAGACAATCAGACACACTGGCAGACAATCAGACACACTGACAGATAAATAGATGCACTGACAGACAATTTGACACACTGACAGACAAACAGACACACTTACAGACAATCAGACACACTGACAGATAAATAGATGCACTGAAAGACAATCAGACACACTTACAGACAATTAAACACACTGACATACAATCGGACACACTAGCAGACAATTTGACACACTGACAGGCAATTTGACACACTGACAGACAAATAGATGCACTTACAGACAATTAAATACACTGACATACAATCAGACACACTGACAGACAATTTGACACACTGACAGACAATCAGACACACTGACAGATAAATAGATGCACTGAAAGACAATCAGACACACTTACAGACAATTAAACACACTGACATACAATCGGACACACTAGCAGACAATTTGACACACTAGCAGACAATTTGACACACTGACAGACAATCAGACACACTGACAGATAAATAGATGCACTGAAAGACAATCAGACACACTTACAGACAATTAAACACACTGACATACAATCGGACACACTAGCAGACAATTTGACACACTGACAGGCAATTTGACACACTGACAGATAAATAGATGCACTTACAGACAATTAAATACACTGACATACAATCAGAAACACTGACAGACAATTTGACACACTGACAGACAATCAGACACACTGACAGATAAATAGATGCACTGAAAGACAATCAGACACACTTACAGACAATTAAACACACTGACATACAATCGGACACACTAGCAGACAATTTGACACACTAGCAGACAATTTGACACACTGACAGACAATCAGACACACTGACAGACAATTTGACACACTGACAATCAGACACACTGACAGACAATCACACACACTAACATACAATCAGACACACTGACAGACAATCACACACACTGACAGACAATTTGACACACTGACAGACAATTGGACACACTGACAGACAATTTGGCACACTGACATACAATCAGACACACCGACAGACAATTAGACACACTGACAATTTGACAAACTGACAATTAGACACATTGAGACAATTTGACACACTGATAGACAATCTGACACACTGACATACAATCAGACAGACAATTTGACACACTGACAGACAATGAGACACACTGACATACAATTTGACCATCAATTTGAGATTTGTTGTTTTGTTTGTTGTTTAACGCCGCACTCAGCAATATTACAGCTATGTGACAGCGGTCTGTAAATAATCGATCTGGACCGGAGAATCCAGTGACTGACATCATGAGCATCAATCTATGCAATACGATCAACCAAGTCAGTGCTCCAAACCACCTGGTTCTGTTAGTCGCCTCTTTTGACAAGCATGGGTTACTGAAGACCTTTTCTAACCTGGACCTTCACAGCATGGGGTACTTGGGACGTTTTCTGTCCCGAAACGAACAAATCAAAACATTATTTTTGTTCTCCTGGATCTCACCAGTATGTTCCTGCCCCTTGAGATGTGAGATCCATCCCAATGTCGGGGGAGAAGTTTTCATCGTCCATGATCTTGCTCAGACCAAAATCGGTGATTTTGATCTCGCCACTCACGGACCCACTTCCTAACAGGATATTACCTAAGCAAAAATAATTTGATTAAAATTAAAAGCAGCTGGGATGATAGGGCATCAATATCTTAATTACATTTTAACAAAGAAAAACCACATGGTTTTATAATAATATGCAAAAAAATTAAGTGTGACACTCTAAAGGTCAAGGACACATTTCAGTCACACTCTAAAGGTCAAGGACACATTTCAGATGGCTTAGGTCATACTGTCCTAAAACTTCATTTAAATCTGAAACAAATTTTGTGCAATTATTACGAATTGTAGAATAGATATATTCCCAGCTACTGATACGTAGGTCAATGTCAAGGTCACATCTCACCTGGTTTAAGGTCATAATGTATCACAGCTGGCTTGATCTCATTGAGATGGCGGAGGGCACTGACTGTCTGACAGATGATAGAGCGGGCCTCCTTCTCTGGAATGCACTTGTTCTGTTTCAAGTAAAAGTCAAGGTCGTTGCCCTCACAATACTCTAACACTGTACAAAATCTGAAACACAAATCAAGGCATCAATGAATTAATTATTCAACTGGCATCAATCATCTGCTTTCTTCAGCTATCATGATATTGAGGATTGAGGAATGAGATATATGATAATTGTAATTGATCTGGAAAATCAAGTGAAATTGCCTTTCATTAAACACTCCGACTCTGAATATAAACATTTAGTGAGATACACGCTGTTTAGAGTGAGTGAGTTGGAGTTAATGCCACTTTTAACAGTATTCCAGTTATATCATGGCGTGTCAACTTAATGTGGGAGGAAAGCCCGAAGTGATGCAGGTCTCTGACGTTTACCACTTCGGTGAAACCCACGAGCATGGGTATGGTGCTCACAAGCCTAGAAACATAATCGGGGCGAACCGGAATTCGAACCCACAATCATAGGTTTCTGGTGTGCCCAAGGGAAGCAACCCTTCATGGCGAATAGCGACGTCTAAGAAGACTGGGCTACCTGTGCCCATTCAGAAACGTTTAGATCGTTATCATTTGAGTGATTCATGTTTGACGTCAAAATCAGAAGGAAGCCCCGACCAGTTTGGTCAGGTAGTTACTTGACTTATGTACGCCACAGCAATGTAGAGAATCGGCCCTTGCCTTCAGCATAACAAGCAAATGTTTTAACCTCTAGGCTACCAGACAGTCACACAACTTAAAACAACAAACTGAAGCACCAACATCACCCATCCAGTTATGAATCAATTCAGTTTTCATGACGTTTACTGTACAGAACTGGATCCATCAAATCAACCTTTACAATACATTAGATTAACCCTATAAATGGAGGGATGAGAAAAGATTTCTTCCAAAGCATCGCAAGTTAGCTGGGGATCTGGGAATCCATATCATTTATGCATATATAGTAATGCCATGTATCACAAAAAACATGTAACTAAATCTGCCCCATCCTCTCAAAAATAAATCATAACATGACCAACTGATTAGTGATAACAGTGAAAAACTAGAATAATACTTACGAATTATTGTCAATTTCAAAAACATCATACAATCTAACTATCCTTGGGTGGTCTAGGCTCTTGTGAATGTTATACTCCCTAAGAGCATGTCTGAAACGAAATCAAGCACAACCATGACCAACACATGTATATTTCATGACAAGAGCAGCCGCGGGCAACATTTGCAGTTGAGTCTAGGAACTGTCTCAGAAGACAAAAAGTGCCAGACCAAATACCTATAACAGACTCTCCTGTTTCCGAAAACAGTCAAGTGAGTGATTTTGGTTTAACATCACTTTAACAGCATTTCAATTATATCAGTGAGTGAGTGAGTTGTGTTTAACGCTGCTTTTAACAATATTCCAGTTATATCGCGGCGTGTCAGCTTAATGTGGGAGGAAAGCTTGAAGTGATACAGGTCTTAGACGTTTACCAGTTCGGTGAAACACACCAGCACGGGTATGGTGCTGACAAACCTAGAAACATAATTGGGGCGAACCGGGATTCGAACCCACAATCATAGGTTTCTGGCGTGCCCAAGGGACGCAACTCTGTACAGCGAATCACAGCGCCGTTAGCCGGCTGGGCCACCCGTGCCCCAACAGGGTTAGAAAGTACCTGTTTTAGTCCACTAGTCCTATAGTCCAAGCCAAACTGCCCAATGGGAAAGGTATCATGAGGACTAGTAGAAATTTGCACTTTTTAAGGGTTTTGCTATATGTTATCATTATAAGGACTAGTGGACGAAAACTGTTAGTTTCTAACCCTGGTCCACTAGTCCTTATGATTATAACATATTGCAACACCTCTAATAATGGCAAATTTCTACTAGTCCTTGGAATACCTGAACTATTGGGCAGTTTGGCAAGGACTATAGGACTAGTGCCAATTTCTAATGCTGGATAATACTTCCATTGAAGCATCTATCTGAAGCATGTGTCTATCACAAGTGAGTGGATCTATCATGACTCAAAGATTCCAGTCTATGATTCTTAAATTGCACACTGAGAAAATACAGAATTACAAACAAAGTTCCCCAAACTTACTTGATATAGTTAGCTTTCTTATCTTCTTTCCATTCACGATTCAACTGGTGAATTTTACATGCGACATATCTCTGTTCCTTCAAATCAAAACCCTGGAACAGAGGAGACAACCGTGAGTGAGTGAGTGAGTGTGGTTTTACACCGCTTTTAGCAATATTCCATCAATATCACGGCAGGGGACACCGGAAATGGGCTTCACACATTGTACCCATGTCGGGAATCGAACCCGGGTCTTCGGCGTGACGAGCGAACGCTTTCACCACTAGGCTACCCGACCGACCCTGGAGACAACCATGAGCAGGTCACAGGTCACATTAGAAAATGATGGCGTGTGAATGTTATTTCACTTCAGCAATATTCCAGCTATTTCCTCAAAAACATTATTTTTATATAACGCTGACTATGTCATGACAATCTGTCAGTAAGCCTGGGCTCGTTAAACCAGTGGTTGACGGCATGAGCAATGACCCACGTTGTTGGGGTACGATGGTGTTCAAACAACCAAATCTGATAATGCAAGGTATGTGACCACACAACGAGGCAGTGTTCCTGGCTTTTGAAACTGCCAGTCCTGGCGGTCTGTCAACTCTAAAAATTACCAGTTCCCCTTAACTTTAAACAAATAAAAAAACGTTTGAAAATTACCTGGTTTTAATTCTTTCAACATCATGTTCAATGCAATGACGTCATCTCTGAAGTAACTTTGTTAGATCTACACGTCATTCACACAAAGTTGAGTCACATTTCTCACACTTTTTAAAAAAGATTTCGAGACTAAGTCGCTACAAATATATATTTAACCTCAAAGCAAAGTGAAATGTTATTTCCTTGCACTAAGAATAGACAAGGGGAAACCCTGATGCTAAAAGTTTAAAAAGTTTGGTGTGACACTCCCAAAGGTTAAGGACACATTTCAGATGGTTTAGGTCATACTGTCCTAAAACTTCAGTTAAATCTGAAACAAATATTGTGGAAATTCTTACAAATTGTAGAATAGATAATTTCCCAGTTACTGGTACATGAGGTCAATGTCAAGGTCACCTAGTTGAAGGTCGTAATGTATCATAATGTGAATGCAGTGTAACATGAGACACTTGCCTCAAATATGAGTACATATATTTTAGACTATGCAACAGTATAATTACTTATCGATTTAGAGACCGTAAAGATTTCATCATTCGAGTATCAAGTGTCAATTTTCCAGCATCACCACAACACGCACATCAGCAATGGGTTTCACACTTACACTTAACACCCGTATCTAAAATCAAACAACCGTCTTCAGATTGAAAAGGCGAACATGGGGCACCCACTCACCCCTCCTAAATAACCCCCACATACACCCACACCCAACACCAACACCAACACATCCACACTCCCCCTCCCCCACCCCCACACCCACACATCCACACTCAATGTGTACGTGTTCCATACCTTGTGTACTTCACTGAAACCCCCTTTTCCCAGCATGCACAGCAACAGGTATCTCTCGTTTAACGTTGGATGATCCTTAAACCTATAAAGCAGAACATCACAGTATTAAATTGCATCAACAAAATTCAACATGTCATTCTGAACAATCAAATCATTTTCATGGCTGTAACACTGAAATTGTTTGTGTGTGGAGTGATGGCAACCAACTATTCACAGACCGGTGAGAATCTGTCTGGGGAGTGAGTGAGTTGGGCTAATGCCAATCTGAACAGTTCGTTCGTTTTGTTTGTTTTACGCCACCCTCAGCAAAATTCCAGCTATATGACGGCAGTCTTTAATTAATCAAATCTGGACCAGACAATCCAGCGATTGATATCATGAGCATCGATCCACACAATTTGGATACGATGACACGCATCAACCAAGTCAGGGAGTCTGACCACCTGATCCCGTCAGATGCCTCTTACAACAAGCATAGTTGCCTCTTATTAGGGCTCCAAGCCGAAAGGCTGTAGAGCCCTATTGTAATCGTTCGATTTATTATTATTATTATTATTTATTATTATTATTATTATTTATTATTCCGCCGATTTTTGTACCTGCCCTAGCAAAATAACCACCGGCTCGATTTTGTTCAAATTTTGTGGGTGTTTGTAGACCGTTGGGTACTAGTGCCCGCCAAAAACCCTAGGGCGTAGGCCGAAAGGCCAAGGGCAGATAACTGAAAAACAAGTATTTTTTGAAGATGTATTTCGCCCTATTGCTCCGCAACCGCTTATCCGATTACTTTGAAACCTTGCATATATCTGCTGCTTTAGTTCTTTGATATTTTTTGTTCTTTGACTTTGGTCATTGATCACGTGGTTTGGCAGCCATATTGGATTCAAGGTTTTCACAGGGTTTTGGGGGTACCTGTCTTCAAATACTATCTCCTCTGAATCCACTGCATGAAATGCTTTCAAACTTTCTGAGAATTGTCTCCATACAGAACACAACAAATAGGCATAGCCGTTTTTGGATATCTTTTTTAGTTGCGGTCATATTGGATTTTGATTTTGATCATTTTTTTCACCGAAATGTTACTTTTAAGATCATAACTTGTAAGGTTCTTAACAGAAACTATTGAAAGTTTGCATGAAGCTTTGAGACTATATGTAGCTCATTTTGTTCTGGGTTGCATACTGAAAGCACCACTGCTTGGTGTAGTATTATTTGATTTAAGTTAAAAATCAGACTTGAGTACAAATACTGAAGGAAGCGCCTCATAAATCTACCAAACACCCCCATTCACTGGCTTTGCAAGCGTTCTCCACAGTCTTGTTCAGTATTATGTGTACTACCCTTGACGACCAGGATTAGAATTGGCCTTTTTCAACCGATGCTTGTCTCAAGAGGCAACTATGCTTGTCACAGGAGGCGACTAATCGGATCGGGTGGTCAGACTCGCTGACTTGGTTCTTCATTTTTCAATTGCCAATTGCTATGGTACCTTATTTTTGACGGCCTTGTTAAAAGCAAACCATTTGCGGATTAGAATATGGAGGTTGGAAATTGGTTTAGTACACTCTGGGAAACTGTGGCACACGCCAATTTGGTAGCGGCAATGTCCTGAAAACGGTGACTATCTTTTGACGGAGTTGGTACAAGCAAACCATATGCGGATTCGAACATGGTCGAAGTCAAACATGGGTTAAGAACACACTGGGACACATGTGGTGATGTCTCACAAGCGGTTTATTACATTTGATGGCGTTGGTACAACCAAACCATTTGGAGATTCGAACATGGTCGTAGTCGGACATGGGTTAAGAACACACTGGGACACATGTGGTGATGTCTCACAAGCGGTTTATTACATTTGACGACGTTGGTACAAGCAAACCATATGCGGATTCGAACATGGTCGAAGTCAAACATGGATTGAGAACACACTGGGACACATGTGGTGATGTCTCACAAGCGCTTCCTTACATTTGATGGCGTTGGTACAAGCAAACCATTTGAGGATTCGAACATGGTCGAAGTTGGAAATTGGTTAAAACACCCAGGCACATGTCAATTTAGTGGTGGTGATGTCTCACAAGAGGTTCCTTACATTTGACGGCATTGGTACAGGTAAACCCTTTCAGGATTCGAATATATGAACGAGGTGGGAAACAAGTTTAGCACTTTATCTCAGCAATGCGACAGGAACCTGGGGCCCCGACGAACGCAGAACGCTAATCCGTTTGACTGGAGCCCAACTGACAAAGAAGTTACGGCCTGTTAAAGAGTAACCAAGCTCGATTTTGTTCACATTTTGTGTGTGTATGTGGACCGTCGGGTACTAGTGCCCGCCATAAACCCAAGGACGTAGACCTAAAAGCCAAGGGCAGATAACTAAAAGAACAGAATATTTTGAAGATGTATTTCGCTCTATTGCTCCGCAACCGCTTATCCGATTACTTTGAAACCTTGCATGTATCTGCTGCTTGAGCTGCTTGACTTTTTTTGTTCTTTGACTTTGGTCATTGGTCACATGGTTTGGCAGCCATATTGGATTCAAGGTTTTCATAGTGTTTTTTGGGGTACCTGTCTTCAAATGCAAACAACTTTGAATCCACTGCATGAAATGCTTTCAAACTTTCTGAGAATTGTCTCCATACATACATGTAACACATCAAACTTTAATAGCCGATTTCGGAATTCTTTTTTAGTTAGGGCCATATTGGATTTTGATTTTGATAATTTTGTTCAACGAAATTTTGCTTTAAAGATCATATCTTGTAAGGTTCTCCACAGAAACTATTGCAAGTTTACATGAAGTTAGTGTGCCATATGCATCTCATTTTTTGTTATTGGTTGTATGCTAAAAGTAACACCGCTTGGTGGTAATATTTGATTTATATTTGGGACACCCCTGGAACACGCCAATTTCGTAGCGGCGATTTACGGTGACTATCTTTTGACAGAGTTGGCACAAGCAAACCTTTTATGGATTCGAACATGATTGAGGTCGGAAATGGTTTAAGAACAGACCTGGACCCGCTGGCACACGCCAATTTCCTAGCGACGATACCCTGCAAGTGGTGCCTACATTTGACGGATTTGGTTCAAGGAAACCCTTTGAGGATTCGAACATGGACGTTTGGGCACAGTGTTACTTGGAGCCCGCCATTGCTGCTTGCAGCTTTAATTATTATTTATAATTATTATTATTATAAAAAAGGCTGTGTTACTGAAGGCCGATTCAAACCCCGATCTTCACGAGTCAATCTCAAGACATCATGGTATGTCAGCTTACCACTTACATGAGAAGACAAACTAAAATGAAAGAAGCTTTTGGTGTTTACATGGCGCTGACCGACAGTACATCACTGATGGATTTGAACCTCTGATCAGCAGATCCTGGTATGGCTAAGGGAGGCAATATGCACTAGTGGAAGAGCTATTTACTGAACTGAACTTTTTAACATTATTCATATCAAATTCCCCACAACATTGAAACACTGCGACAGTCTTTACCTTGAGTTATCTTCATTGTGAATGCGTTTGAGTTCTCGTATATGCAGGTTACGTTCTCTCTCAAGCTTCTCCAACTCCAACTGAAGGTCAGCATCCTCTTTTTTCAAGGTCGCTTGTCGTAACTTCAGGATCTCGTCCTGCTCGTAAAACTCTGCTAACGTTAACCTGGGAAATAGAAAAAGGGCATATACACTTCATGTGTACATCTGGGAGTTAACATGGCCATATACACTTCATGTGTACATCTGGGAGTTAACATGGCCATATACATGTCACGTTTACATCTGGGAGTGAACATGGCCATATACACGTCATGTGTACATCTGGGAGTTAACATGGCTATATGCACTTCATGTGTACATCTGGGAGTTAACATGGCCATATACACTTCATGTGTACATCTGGGAGTTAACATGGCCATATACACGTCACGTGTACATCTGGGAGTGAACATGGCTATATACACATCACGTGTACATCTGGGAGTTAACATGGCTATATACACTTCATGTGTACATATGGGCATTAACATGGCCATATACACTTCATGTGTACATCTGGGAGTTAACATGGCTATATACACGTCACGTGTACATCTGGGAGTTAACATGGCTATATACACTTCATGTGTACATATGGGCGTTAACATGGCTATATACACTTCATGTGTACATCTGGGAGTTAACATGGCTATATACACGTCACGTGTACATCTGGGAGTGAACATGGCCATATACACTTCATGTGTACATATGGGCGTTAACATGGCCATATACACTTCATGTGTACATATGGGAGTTAACATGGCTATATACACGTCACGTGTACATCTGGGAGTTAACATGGCTATATACACTTCATGTGTACATATGGGCGTTAACATGGCTATATACACTTCATGTGTACATCTGGGAGTTAACATGGCTATATACACGTCACGTGTACATCTGGGAGTGAACATGGCCATATACACTTCATGTGTACATATGGGCGTTAACATGGCCATATACACTTCATGTGTACATCTGGGAGTTAACATGGCTATATACACGTCACGTGTACATCTGGGAGTGAACATGGCCATATACACTTCATGTGTACATATGGGCGTTAACATGGCTATATACACTTCACATGTACATCTGGGAGTTAACATGGCCATATACACGTCACGTGTACATCTGGGAGTTAACATGGCTATATACACTTCATGTGTACATCTGGGAGTTAACATGGCTATATACACTTCATGTGTACATCTGGGAGTTAACATGGCTATATACACGTCACGTGTACATCTGGGAGTTAACATGGCTATATACACATCACGTGTACATCTGGGAGCTACCATCATAGGGAGCAAGGTGTTTCAGTTTATGAGCAGCATCTGCCTCTGAAAATATCACTGACACTTCAAAGTATCTTGTCCTTAATTTTACCACTATTAATCTCGGACACATCCGACTTGAGTGAATATCAAACACAGCGCCTGGAGCTTATTCTAGTGAGTGAGTGAGTGAGTTTGGTTTTACGCCGCTTTTAGCAATATTCCAGCAATATCACGGTGGGGGACACCAGAAATGGGCTTCACACATTGTACCCATGTTGGGAATCGAACCCGGGTCTTCGGCGTGACGAGCGAACGCTTTAACCACTAGGCTACCCGACCGCCCGCTTATTCTAGCCTGGATCCAACATGCAATGGCACAGTTAAGAGAAGAGGATGTATACAGCACACATTGCTTTAACGGTTTCCTGTAAATGTGGACTCACGGTTTCTCTTGCCCTGGTTTGAGAAACTCGTGTTGTTTGGAGTTTTTCCCTGTCGACATGGTGGGTTTCCTCTTCATGAGTAGCCTCCTCTGTTTATCTATGTCTTCGCGGTCCGTTCCTATCCTCTCTTGTTGTCTGCAAGACACAACAGACATCCAACATCATCAACACTTTCAAGGGGCATCAATTGTAAGTGGAGTAAATAATCACTATTACACCGAACAAAAATGTAATGATGAATATTTGGGGGGTTAAGTTTTTGTAGTGAAGACTAAGCACCCAATTTTATGAAAGTATCCCCAAAAATACTCATGATCCCTAACTTCTTTTGTTCAGTATATTAGCCACAGACATCCAACATCATTGACACTTTCTAGGGGCATTTAAGTAAAGTAAGTTATCACTCTTATACCGAACAAAAAAAAACAATGGGATCATGAATATTATGGATTGGGGGGGGGGGGGGGGGGGGGGTATTTTTTTGTATTAAAGACTGAGCACACAATTTTATATAAATACCATGATCCTTAACTTTTTTGGTTCAGAATATTAACACTAACAGCAATAAGGAGAATAAGGAGCAAATAAGAATCTACTCAAATTTTTATGCAATATAGTCAGCCATATTACAGCTAAATAATGCAGCACAGACATATCGGGTCAGACAAACCAGTGGTTGATATTATGAGCACCAGACCATGTCACAATCCTACAACACAATCATTTTAGTCAATTCTCACAACAAAGTTAGGTTATTGAAAACCCATTTCATAATGAGTGAAAATGGTTTTATGCCGCTTTTAGCAATATTCCAGCAATATCACTGCTGGGGACACCAGATATGGGCATCACGCATTGTACCCGTGTTAAGAATCAAACCCAGGTCTTCAGCATGACGAGCAAACGTCTTAACCACTAGGCTACCCAACAGACACAATTTTATTTTTCTATAATGAGGATTGCTCCCAAGAATAACGTTCCTATGTCCATTTTGTTATGAGTGAGTGAGTATGGTTTTACGCCGCTCTTAGCAATATTCCAGCAATATTACAGCAGGGGACACAGAAATGGGATTCACTCATTGTACTCATGTCGGGAATAGAACCCGGGTCTTCGGCGTGACAGGCGAACGCTTTAACCACTAGGCTACCCGACCGCCCCCATTTTGAAATGAAAGAAAGAAAATAGTAAGTATCCTATTCTTATTGAAGTAACAGTATTAGTAAAGAACAAACATTGTATGTTCCACATTCCTAAACATCTAGATAAGACAAAGATTAGTTCAATACCTGTCCCGACAGTCAATATTGAATTTGATTAATTAATCACTAATGACGCCACCAAAATATTACATGACAGGGAGAGATTTATCTAGAATGCTCAGAGGCTGATATTCAATCCCAGCAGCTATTAAATATCCACTAAAAAAAACAAAATCATGTTTATGTAGAACTATTAACTAAGCTTTGGCTTTGTAGAGATAACCTGTATTTCACTGACAACAGGTCCAAGGAAGCAGTTGTAATGCTTAGTTTTATATAACTGCAATCCATACAATCCCCCCCCAAAATAATGTTAAAATACCTCTGAATTTGATTAAATAAGAACTTTATATAAATCCCAATTTTGACCAAAATAACCAGTTTCCCCCCCAATTTTCCAGCCAGGGATACTTAGTTTAGAAGCCTCAATACATCCTGACATGATGCATCAACTTTTTGTTTGTTTGTTTGTTGTTTCAGCAACATTCCAGCTATATGACGGTGGTCTGTAAATAATCGAGTCTGGACCAGACAATCCAGTGATTAATATCATGAGCATCGATCCACGCAATTGGGATACGATGACATGCTTCAACCAAGTTAGCGAGCCTGACTACCTGACCCTGTTAGTCGCCTTTTACGACAAGCATAGTCGCCTTTTACGACAAGCATGGGTTGCTGAAGACCTATTCTACCCCGGATCTTCACGGGTCGATGCACCAACTCATACATCAGGTTTTAACGACAAAATATTTGAATACACCAAAGCATAAACACATGAGAATACCATACACCCAAGCAAGTGTTTAGAAGCATCTATCATGTCTACATGTCTACATGAGAGTGAGATTGGTGTGACGCCACTTCGAACAGTGTTCAGTAATATCCTGGCATGTCAGTTTCAGCGTGAGAAAAGACTTAAGTGATGCAGATTCAGCAAACACTCGAGCTGACAACCAAGGATCATAATCGGGGTGAATTCAGGACTCGAACCTAGAATCAGCAGATCCTGACAGCTAAGGGACACAACTCTGGACAAGTTGAATGACTGCCAGAAGGTCCTAAGACCTCCAGCAAGAGACTGATCCAGGGTTCATACAGCTATGGAACACAAAAATTTAAGGCTTTTTAAGGCTTCCAATTGTCATGTTCAAGGCTTTTGAAGTTGGGTTATTATTACCCTTAGTCTGTCAATATTGTTTTATAATCCAGCCTGTTATATATTAGTCAAGAGACCTGAAAAGCAGTATGAAAATCACTAAATTTCCAACTAGATATATTTTCATAACCAACAAATAAAATAAATTGTCATGAATTTGAATACTTTAAGAAACAAGAACGTGTTATTTTGTACAAATTCAAGGCTTTTCAAGCTACTTTGGTGATTTTCAAGGCTTTTCAAGGTTGACACTGAAATCAAGGCTTTTCACGAGTGACATTAAAAAGGCCTTTTCAAGCCTGTATGAACCTTGCTGATCTGGCTACACGGGCTGAAGCCTGTAAGTGTGTGAATAGCTAATAAGTTATTGAATAGGTACATACCGTATTCGACGTAATAAGCGCCCCGCTCTAATAAGCGCCCACAGCGATATTTGCTAATATATTGGCTAGTGAACAATCCCAATTAGCACCCTTTCCCATTGATCAATGTACACAAGACTTATTTATTTGGGTATAATACGTGTGTCATATGCATCCTTAATTATGGGAAATTAAATTATGGGAAAAATAAATCTGTCGTATATAAAGATTTCAGGCTGTCAGCATAAACCACAAAATTTACGATCTTTCAACTCTGTTGTTTTTCACCAAAAAATATTCTAATAAGAGCCCCCTATTTCTAATTTTGAGAGCGCCCTGGGCGCTTATTATGTCGAATACGGTATACTCAGCTCTAACCTTTTCTTATTGCTTGGATCACGAATCCGCCTGCTCCAATGTTTGAAAAGTGAAAAAAATATATAAATTAATTTGGATTGATTGTTTTATTTCGATTGAATTCACAAACAGTTTCTTAACCTTAGGGACCAACCATTTAACATTCTGGACCACTGGAAATTTCTAAAAATCATTTGTTTCAGAATATACACAAAACATTGAGTTGCCATGATACACTCACAAAATATTATTTGCTGGAAATGTATGAAATACAAAAATGCGTTGTGGAAAAAATTGTTAATCTCCTTTCAAAGAAATATATCTCACACCTCCAATGATTATTAAATGGTAAGCCCTCAGGACCAGGAACAGCCCTGGAAGATTCATTTGTGCTCAAACAGACAAAAGCCTGGACATAAGAGTGAGATAAATGTCTCCAGGTACACTGCCTTCAGTATTGCCTCAAATAATCTTAAACAGCTACTACAGTGCCCATTTGAACTTCAGTTTTCTCATCTTCAGCTTAAAAATAATCCGTGATCCAAGTGATAAAAAAAATATATATATATAGTCTAATTGTGGCACACCATTGTGTCCTGTTCTGAACTCAACATGCCTTCATCATTAATAAGGATGCTAGAAGTCACAGTATAAACACTACCTTCAGTGCAATGGCGACCTATCACTTCACATTTTAACCCCTACTGATTCGATCTGATCATGTTGACTTGCATGTCAATTGGAAGCAAAATCAGCTTTGTCATCCTTTGTTTGGACAGAATTTAATTATCCCTGTGTTATGGGTTTTCAAACGCTTAAGAAACATTCGTAGTTTAGTTTTTTCTAATCACGAGAACAACTGTAAAACATCTCACTCAGGTATAAAAGATGACTTTGTCATCATCTGAGTATTTACAATGTCGAGTAATCGTGATAAACATGGCTGTCCGAAAACGTATGATGTCCGAAAAAAATATGATCCAACAATCCTTGTTCTACTGATTCCCTAGTCACACTTCAGCCATTCCCCCCCCCCCCCCCCCACACCAAAAAAAAACAAACAACAAAAACAACAAAAAACAAATAAATGTGTGGGAAAAAAAGTTGTGTCACGTAACCTTTCACCTCAACATTAACAGATATACTGACATTTTGACTGCTCTCTCCCACTGGCTAGGCTTGACGTAAAAGGACAAAAAACACCACCCTCTACCCAAACATCCAACAGAAGCCGCTTGTTATTAATAAGAACGTATGGTAATAGGCACAATACAGTTACAAAGTCACTGATTTTTTAATTTTAGAGATTATTATATATTCTCCCATCTGTCTTCAGGAATTTAGGGCCAAAAGTGTCTGAAACAAGCAATCAAATGTACCTGCGCTTATATCAAATTAACAGAGTTTACTCAAAATGAATGTCACGACAGGTATCGTGAATAAATCACATGTAAGACATGGCATGATGACTTGGATGTGTTTGTCCAGTTGCCATCAGCCCGCTACACTTACTTCATGAGGTCTGTGAAAGCCCAGCCGTCCACCCAGTTCTCCACGAACGTTGCACCCTGCCGCTGTGTCACGAACTGCCCTAATCTCAATCGGTTCTCCATACACTTCTGTCTTGTCTCTTTTTTCACTAATGTACTCTGAAAGACAAATTGCAGTGAGTGAGTAAGTAAGTAAGTGAGTGAGTGAGTGAGTGAGTGAGTGAGTGAGTGAGTGAGTGAGTGAGTGAGTGAGTGAGTGAGTGAGTGAGTGAGTGAGTGAGTGAGTGAGTGAGTGAGTGAGTGAGTCTGGTTTTACACCGCTTTTAGCAATATTCCAGCAATATCACGGCGGGGAACACCAGAAAAGGGCTTCACACATTGTACCCATGTCGGGAATCGAACCCGGGTCTTCGGCGTGACGAGCGAACGCTTTAACCACTAGGCTACCCGACCGCCATGTGTGTGAGTGAGGGAGTTAAATGCTGTTTTAACAGTATTCCTGTCATCATTATCAAGGGCTTCAGTCCTTCCCCTCACTGAAGCACATATAGTACATGTGATGTCACCTCAGGCAATATGCCTCAGTTCACCCAGCAGTGAAGGGGTACCCGGTAGGATGACATGGTTATATAACTTAACCTTTTGGCTTGGGTTGTATACTCCCTAGGAAGCTGAGAAACTATTTGTTTGTCTTACTCCACACTACTCCGCAATATTACAGCTATATGACTGCGGTCTGTAAATAATCGAGTCTGTATAGACAATCCAGTGATTAATATCATGAGCATCTATCCACGCAATTGGGATGGATGACATGCATCAACCGTTATTCACCTCTTACAACAAGCATAGTTGCTTTTTACGGCAAGCATGGGTTGCTGAAGACCTATTCTACCCCGGATCTTCACGGGTCAGTTGCATGAGACCACACTTCATTGAAAACATGTTAGCTCAGTGATTCTGGCCAAGACCGTTTACCATCGCAGTTAAATCCAAAGCATTGAATATTTTGACTCCACCATATCCATCCACATCATAAATAATCACACATAGACCAGACAAACCAGTGATTGAAAACATGAGCACAGGTCACGATGACACAGATAGCAGCTCTTAAAACAAGCACTTGCTGTTTGGGACCAACTCTTGCCTGGAATTCTCACAGAGGATCACAAGGACCAGTCACTGGAACTCAATACTCCTGGATCAGTTGAGGTTAACAATCTTGAGCCTCACCTTTTCTATAAGTAAAGACTTGTTGACCTCCAAACATTTCTGCAAATTTTCTTTGTGTTTTTCTAAAAGTTTTTGTTGAGCTGTTAACTGCCTCCTGAGCTCATCATTTTGCTGAAAAAGTAATAATACGGCCATCTAAAACATTGGTACTGTCTATGCTGTCACATAACACATGCATCACACATAGCACATAATGAGAAGGAGTCCATTCCATGCAGTCAGAAAAATTAATATGGTTCTCACCAATATTCTGTTTATTTATCGTTTCACGCCGCACTCAGCAATATTCCAGCAATATGACAGCTGTCTGTAAGTAATCGAGTCTGGACCAGAAAATCCAGTGATTGACATCATGAGCATCGATCCATGCAATTGGGATACGATGACATGCATCAACCAAGTCAGCAAGACTGACCACCCGATCCTGTAAGTTGCCTCTTACGACAAGCACAGTCGCCTTTTACAGCAAGCATGGTTGCTTAAGACCTATTCTACCCAGGATCTTTACAGGTCCACAAATATAGCAGCTACATGGCAGCAGCCTGGACCAGCCAATTCAGTGATTGATATCATGAGCATCGATCCCTGCAGAAGGGTTAATATGACAGGTAATTAACAAGAATTAACCACCTTATCAGAGCTTACGACAAGATAAGGTTAAAGGGGACCTATTCCTCATAGTTCCTAAGTTGCCTCTTATAACTAGCAATGTGGTGTTGTGTACACATTACCCCAACTCCCTATCCCCAAGGGATAGAGTGCATAGTTTGTTTGTTGCTTAACGCCGCACTCAGCAATGTTCCAGCTATATGACGGCGGTCTGTAAATAATCGAGTGTGGACCAGACAATCCAGTGATGGACCTCATGAGCTTCGATCCACGCAATTGGGATTGATGACATGCATCAACCAAGCCATTGAGTACATGGTGATCACATCATATCTTGCAATACATACTGTAAATCTTGAAATTAACGCGAGCATGAATTAAATGCGAAAAATGCGAGTGGTCTTTGCTCGCATTTTTAAACATCGCATTTATATCAACAATAAGACATTTTGGATAGCAAAAATACAACTTAGACATACGCTGATGTATTCCACATCACTGTCTATTGAGCAGCACTTGTAACAAGTATATAAACAATGTCATTCAAACACTAATTACGTCCTGTGAATTGTCACTGCTGGGGTCAAGACAAGAGTTCCACTCACTTATGTCATCACTGATCACACCTGCAAGTCCAGACAGACGCCACCCTTTGTTCTTTGCGACTGCGTCAAAGGCCGACACGAGCCAGCGTGCATGTATTGTTTCTGCGGAAGTACTTTACTCATCACTAATAAGCGGTGCTATTTAGTGTGTGATTGGATTAATTTTAAGGTTGGATTAGGGTGAGGATTCTAAACCTGACTGAGGACATATTTAGATAAAAATCCACTGATGCTTGAGAGGAGGGGTTGTCGCATTCATATTGAGTCGCATTTTTTGCTAGGGTCCAGTGGTCGCATTCTTTTTTAGACGCATTAATTTCACGATTTACAGTATCACATCAAGACTCAGGAAATATTACTCCTTGTTGCACCATTTATGGCGACCATAAACTAACTTCCGTTATTACCTGTTGGTTATCTGCTCAGCACTTACCCGTATTAGGTCTTCTATTTTGGTATCTTTCTGTTCTATATCTGTTACAGACCGCGACTCCATCGAGTGGATGCTGGCCATTGACATGTCAGTCTGAAACGAACACTTCTTCATATCACCCAACAATGCGATATTGGTCTGAGTGATGATATTTCATATCAACTAACAATGAGATATCAGTTTGAGATCAATAATATTTCACATCACCCAACCATTGGATATCGGTCTGAGAGTGATAATACACCATATCAACCAACAATGAGATATCAGAGATCATATCAACCAATATTGAGACATCAACTGACATGCAATCAGACAAGTCACTGAGTCTGACCAACCAATACACAAAAATGACACATTCTAAGCATCTGATCCTCATTTCATTCAGCTTGGGGTATTAGGGACCAATGTGCCCATGTATGTACATAACTAGAATGGTTTGGGTCTTGGTTTGGTTTGTTGTTAAACGCCGCACTCAGCAATATTCCAGCTATATGCTTTCGGCTTGTAAATAATTGAGTCTGGACAAGATATCCAGTGATTGATATTGTGAGCAACGACCCATGCTATGTAAAGGGCAGCACTGGATGGTGTCCCCTTTATCTGACAAACACAGAACCCTAAAACGATATTCAGTGCAAATTCCAATCTCATTAAAAGCAGACCTTCAAATTCCATACAATTCCACTCTTAAGTGAGTGAGTATGGTTTTATGCCGCTTTTAGCAATATTCCAGAAATACCACGGCGGGGGACACCAGTAATGGGCTTCACACATTGTACCCATGTCGGGAATCGAACTGGTATCTTCGGTGTGACGAGCAATTGCTTTAACCACTAGGCTACCCGACCGCTTGAAGACCTGAGGATACCTGTATAGGAGGTCGCAAACTTTGACATCACAATCTAAATGAAGGGTTTTGGAGCCAGTCAGATGTCAGCTTACTGGTCCTCCCTTTTCTTATTTACATTCAAAACTGGCTGTTCAATTGATTTTTCAAGATACAGACATCATATCTGTAACTGATTGTCTGATAAGAAAGTACACCTGATGCGACTTCATACGGATTCTTCGTCAAATCTCCATGCGAAGATCCCATTACAGGTCACGTCAGAATGACCTTTCATCCGACCAATCAGAGTGTCGTTTGCCAGACTGGGAAAGAGACAGCTGGAATGTGTTTTCAAATCGTGTAACCTCGAAAAGGTTAACATGGTATTCCAAAGACAGTTACTGGCTGTACATCTATCACTCGCTTCAATGGGATAAACATTTGAAGCAGAAGACACTTGCCACAGCCATGGTGGGTACTGCCATACAATCTCGGCCATCTATTAGACATTCCCGAATTTTCTTTTGATCAGTTTTCAAATTGAATTGATAGATTTTCAAAGCATAGTCTGGAATGGAGGTCGCGAGTTTCAAACAAGTGCCATACAGCTGGAGAAAGCTGCTTTCTGATTGCCTAATCTTGACTTCTTTTTAGTAATTTCACTGGTCTGTCAACATTCGCGAAAGGTCGTCCTGACTTGACCCATAATGGGATGTTTTCAGATCTTTGTTTAGCAGTAGCGAGAACTTTGATCTGATTTCAATGAGATTGTGCAAATCCTCATCTGTCAACTATACAAGGAGGTTGACGGGGTGACTAACGGGTGTTGTCTCCAACCCAAACCTCTCACGTGGACAAGTTCTTGTACACAAAATGGTTTTCAGGTGACAATGATTCTACCCACATTTCTATACTATGAACAGATACATAAAAAACGAAGGACTGTGATACAGGATACAAAGTATTCTTCAAAAGTATGCGACAGTGATAAGGAAATCATGCAAATAATTCCCTAACAACTACTCATGTCCCATTTTTTTCAAAATCATTATAAATATTTCGGCGAAATACTTTGGTCTCACGTTACCATGGAAATGATGTTAATATTTTCAGCCAATGAAATAGGTGGATGTGGTCAGGTGGAGGGATGACAGGTGACAAAACAACAAAAAAGAAAAAGGGGAGAATTTGAAAATATTTTGACCTGGGTGTCTGTGCCATTGTGAATGGTGTTAGGTGATCGATTCTGCCTCTTTGGCATCGGCATTTTAGAAACGTTGGCGCTGAACCGAGAAGGTGATGTCCTTTTCGGTAGCGCCTGATCCACATCCTCCTGATGAATAAAGAAATACAACATGTTACCTACAGGTAAGACCAAAAATAGGTACATGGAACCCATGTGCAGGATCAAACCTAGGACTTAGGTGGGACAAACAAACACTACTAGGCTACTCCACTGTCCTTATGAAACAGAACCCCAGTTTTCAAGTCAACTAACAATGATCTGTTCCTATAATTTGTTCTAAAAATTTCTGCATCTCACAACTCGATGAAATTACATCAAATTTCACCATACCCATGCTTGTGGGTTTCACCGAAGTGGTAAACGTCTGAGACCTGCATCACTTCGGGCTTTCCTCCCACATAAAGCTGACACGCCGCCATATAACTGGAATACTGTTAAAAGCGGCGTTAAACCCAACTCACTCACTCACTCAAAAGACACTGGCAATAAACCATCAGCCATTTCAGAATCTAGGACAAACAAAGTTATTCCACATCTTGTTTAAATCGTCACTCTTTGTAATCCTAGCTGAAGCATATCACTCCATTTAGTCCTAGCTGAAGTGTATCACTCTGTTTAGTCCTAGCAGAAGTGTATCACTCCGTATAGTCCTAGATGAAGTGTATCACACGTATAGTCCTAGCTGAAGTGTATCACACGTATAGTCCTAGCTGAAGTGTATCACTCCATATAGTCCTAGTTGAAGTGTATCACTCCATATAGTCCTAGTTGAAGTCTATCACTCCATATAGTCCTAGCTGAATTTTATAACTAAATAGTCCCAGCTTATGCATATCACTCTGAAAAGTCCTAGTTGAAGTCTATCACACTATATATAGTCAGCAGATGTGTAACACCGTGTCTAGCCCTAGTTGAAGCCTATCACACTGTATATAGTTAGCAGATGTGTAACACTGTGTCTAGCCCTAGTTGAAGTATATCACACTGTATATAGTCAGCAGATGTGTAACACTGTGTCTAGGCCTAGTTGAAGTCTATCACACTGTATATAGTCAGCAGATGTGTAACACCGTGTCTAGCCCTAGTTGAAGTCTATCACACTGTATATAGTCAGCAGATGTGTAACACTGTGTCTAGCCCTAGTTGAAGTCTATCACACTGTATATAGTCAGCAGATGTGTAACATTGTGTCTAGCCCTAGTTGAAGTCTATCACACTGTATATAGTCAGCAGATGTGTAACACTGTGTCTAGCCCTAGTTGAAGTCTATCCTACTGTATATAGTCAGCAGATGTGTAACACTGTGTCTAGCCCTAGTTGAAGTCTATCACACTGTATATAGTCAGCAGATGTGTAACACCGTGTCTAGCCCTAGTTGAAGTCTATCACACTGTATATAGTCAGCAGATGTGTAACACCGTGTCTAGCCCTAGTTGAAGTCTATCACACTGTATATAGTCAGCAGATGTGTAACACTGTGTCCAGCCCTAGTTGAAGTCTATCCTACTGTATATAGTCAGCAGATGTGTAACACTGTGTCTAGCCCTAGTTGAAGTCTATCACACTGTATATAGTCAGCAGATGTGTAACACCGTGTCTAGCCCTAGTTGAGTGAGTGAGTATGGTTTTACGCCGCTTTTAGCAATATTCCAGCAATATCACGGCGGGGGACACCAGAAATGGGCTTCACACATTGTACCCATGTCGGGAATCGAACCCGGGTCTTCGGCGTGACGAGCGAACGCTTTAACCACTAGGCTACCCGACCGCCCCTAGCCCTAGTTGAAGTCTATCACACTGTATATAGTCAGCAGATGTGTAACACCGTGTCTAGCCCTAGTTGAAGTCTATCACACTGTATATAGTCAGCAGATGTGTAACACTGTGTCTAGCCCTGGTTGAAGTCTATCACACTGTATATAGTCAGCAGATGTGTAACACTGTGTCTAGCCCTAGTTGAAGTCTATCACACTGTATATAGTCAGCAGATGTGTAACACTGTGTCTAGCCCTAGTTGAAGTCTATCACACTGTACAGTCTGAGGTATATGGCCTGTTATCCCACCTGTGCTCCCTTGGAGCAGCTGTACACAGGCCTCACGGGGTAGCTCGGAATAATGTCAGAGTTGCATGTCGATGAAGACTGGGGGGAAGCTGCCAAATAACTCTGGAACAAACAAAACAAGCATGAAATACTCATATCCCCCCAAACATGACATGTCTGGTTGTGTGCAAGGCATTAGCCCCTGTGAACTTTGTTCACTGGGCCTTTTTGTAAATGGCCCTAATTGCAAGCACTAAAAAAGCCATGGAAACTCAAAAAATATTTTTTTACAAATTCTCAAACTTTCAAAAGGCTCCAGTTCACAACTAGAACCTATCTATGTGCCAAGTTTGGTGAAGAATTCTCTCATGGTTTTTGAGTTCTGCTCTGGAAACAACAAAACATGATGGAAGGATGGTGAGGTGAGGTGAAATTGGGTTTAACGTCGCGTCCAAGATTATTGCACTTATATAGCGACGTGCATGCACGTGTATGTGTGTGTGTGGCTGCTTGTACTAGTCCGGACTGATGCCGATTTATAGTGCTAGCTCACTGAGATACCATGCCGCAGTTTAACATGAATACCCCACTCAGACACAGTATACTGACTCCGAGCCGACCAGTCCTTGTTTTAGCCCCTTAATGCCGAGCGCCAGACAGGGTAACAACAAGTACAATCTTTTAACGTCTTTTTGTATGACGCGGCCCGGGATCGAACCCTGGACCTTCCGCTCTCCGGGCGGACGCTCTACCACTAGACCACGGAGGGGGTCGATGGAAGGATGGAATGACGGCACCCATTCCTATATCCCCCTTCCGCTTTGTTTTGAGTTTTTGGCTGCTGAATACAGCAGTGACTAGGATGTGATGTTTATGATCATATAAAGTGGACAAACACACCTACTTATGTCTAAAAAGCATTCTTCCAGTTCGCACACGTGGAATCAAATACAATTGTACCCCTAAAAGGGTAGGCGCATCAAGCATCAGTGAATCATGACTAGTGGTGGGACGATACACTGATGCATTGGTAGATCGCGATATTTCACTTCCCAATACAAGTATCGATCACAGTTACACACTTTTAAAGTAAAAAGTATCAATTCTTATCTATTCTTACGTATTCTTTAATAAATGTTACACCAAATACTATTTAGTAGTGAAAAATTAAATATTTTCATCCATTGTGCCATACTTAAAACTGCCACTGAAATCATCAGTGTGCCAGGTATTTGAATATCCAGTCTTGGAAAATATGGGTTACGCACTTCAGATATGAGCACATACAAGTATCGATATATGTATCGGATCATGAGCAAGGTATCGTGATACGCATCGGATCACCCAGTTGGTGTAGCTTCCCAGACCTAATCGTGACACAAGCCATTTGGCACTATATCATATGATAGACAGCAAAGATCACCCAATTATTACAGATCTTTATGATCAGCTGCTAAAGCTAATTCCGGAAGTGAAATTACATGTTAAACATTGATTACAGAAAACTATGTTCATAACAAACACGCATAAAAGGTGAGGTGAGGGGAAATGGGGTTTAACATCGTGTCTAAGATTATTGCACTTATATAGCAACGTGCATGCACGTGCGTGTGCGTGTGCACTAGTCCGGACTGATGCCGATTTATAGAGATACCAGCCGACCAGTCCTTGTTTTAGTCCCTTAATGCCGAGCGCCAGACAGGGTAACAGCAAGTACCATTTTTTAACGTCTTTTGGTATGGCCCTGCCTGGGATCGAACCCAGGACACTCTTCCACTAGACCACGGAGGTGGTCTTAAGATTGTCATAACCGAGATATACTGTATATTGAGAATGACATATGATATAGAGATTATCATCCATGTTTATTTCCGTCTTATAAATATTATATATTGGGAATTAATGTTTTAGGAATTAGGAATTAACACGTAAGTTGTTTTAGTATGGAAGAAGACGACTTACTGTGGCAGCCTGCGGGGAGGGGGACTTGGCTCCGGAAGGGGGGATAATACTGCGACTAGGAGACTGGCTCTGCTGCAAACACAATATCATCATCAACAACTGCATAACCAAGCCATCTTTTTTTATTTTTTTTGGACATTTTTTATTCCTTTCGAAGAGTTGTACATCAGGTTCAGAGGTTACACAGTAGGTTTAGTCAATTGTAGTGAAAATATGTTACATAGATGTACATTTCTTGTGATATAAATATAGCATGCATAATTGAAACACACCCACGCACACGCACACACACACAAACACACACATGATATGCCTCAAGAAGAGCATGAAAAGTTGTATCGATAGTCAGATATAACTAGAACAATTATGGTAGTATTGCTATTTGAGGCATAGCTGATCTATAGCCTTATTGTACAGGGCATGAGTATTATATTAATTTGTGTAGGATTTTTCCCTATTTTCGTTCAAATTGTAATAGGCCATTGTTTTTGGTGGCAATGAATTTTTCAATCATCGCTGTCTCTTTTAGTATTTTCCTAAAATTATCAAAAATTGGTTTCTCACCCTTAATACTTGATATATATATATATCTTTTACTGGATATTATAATATGATTAAGTAAAAGTTTATTTTTGTCGAATCCAAAAATAACTGAGTATTTGGTAAGTGAGATAACCAAGCCATCTTGACTGACTGGTTGAGAGCCCCCAATACAATGGCGACTCGTGCATGAAGTTCAAATTTTAGACTAAGGAACCAATACTGATATGAAACAAGTTGTGTTAAATATAACAATCGACAAACAAATATTAGAAGTATTTGAATGAAATCATGGGAAATCATAAATAATAACTATCAAATAACATACACTGAACAAATTAAGTTTGGCATATTTTTGGTATATTTTTATGAAATATATGCTCAGTCATTACAGAGCACTACAAAACAATATCCCAAAAGTATTCCTGATTCCCATCTACACATGTCTTTTCATCATGTTTGAATGTTCTCCCAATGACAGAGAGCTTACAAACATACTTTTTGTGAGAAATAGAAGTTTTACATGGTCACTGCTCCAAGATAACAATCTTAAAATATCTTAATACCTTGAAATACTCGTTTATCTTTTTGCCATTTGCTTCTGAGCGACCACTCTTTGGAACACCTAAAACACAAAGGACATTCATTAATTACATGGAAACAGAAAAATGAGTGAGTGAGTGAGTGAGTGAGTTTGGTTTTATGCCGCTTTTATGCCACATTGTACTCATGTGAGGAATTGAACCCTGGTCTATGACATGACGAGTGAACGCTTTAACCATAAGGCTACCCGACTGCCCCTCCAGAAGCAACAATCCATGCAGAGAGGACCCACCAGTCCCAGACAAATTCTGCAATTTCTTGATCATGGAAAGATTTCCATCAAATGTAACTAACTGCAGAATTGCAGAAAAAAAGCGTAATTTGCCCTTTTTGTCAATCAGTACACTAATTTTCAATATTTTCATGCTTTTCTATACAATTTTTATAAAAGAGGAATGACCCACAATCCACGCAAGATGACCCACTATCTTTGCAGGATGACCAACTATCCACACAAGATGACCCACTATTCATGCAGGATGACCCACTATTCATGCAGGATGACCCACTATCCATGCAGCATGACAACTAACCACACAGGTAATCCACTATCCACAAAGATGACCCACTATCCTTGCAGGATGACCCACTATCCTTGCAAGAAGACCCACTATCCACGCAGGATGACCCACTATCCATGCAGGATGACCCACTTTCCTTGCAGGATGACCCACTATCCTTGCAAGAAGACCCACTATCCACTCAGGATGACCCACTATCCACTCAGGATGACCCACTATCCATGCAGGATGACCCACTATACATACAAAGGAATGACCCACTATACAACTATTTGTAGATGAATCAATTGGTATGTGTAGTATCAATTTTGCAGTAAATGACTCCAAATTGCACTGGGTCAAAGTCTCATAATAATAAACATAATCAGGGCGAACCGGGATTTGAACCCACAATCATAGGTTTCTGGCGTGCCCAAGACACACAACTCTGCACGGCAAATTACGATGCGTTAGACAACTGGGCCACCCATGCCACATGTTGGTTATGCCGAATGATGTGACGTGTTTTGTTGTAGATAAATGTGGACTGGCAACTTTTTAACGTTACTGGTAATGTCCAGAGACTTGCGAGACCAGCTGTCTTGCTTAAATTAATCTGAATTTTATTGACTGAATACACACTACCTCCTGTGTCACACAACAAACAAAGGCTGACTCACCACCTTCATCGGTTACTGTCTTCCGTTTCCGTTTCCTCTCCGACGGTGTCCGAGACTTGTCGGGGGTGTGGACCTGGGCCTAGAAATATAGTGAGCTTTTAGCAATATTCCAGCAATATCTCGACAGGGGACACCAGAAATGGGCTTTACACATTGTACCCATGTCGGGAATCAAACCCAGGTCGAGTGAACGCTTTAACCACAAGGCTACCAGACTGCCCCCAAGAAATAGAGCAAAACATGTATCAGGTCAACAAACATTTAACCCTGTATGAGCACTTGTTTCATGCTATCTTTGAGAAGTAAGTCAGGCTGTGTATCGTCATCAAGGATACAATGCAACGCAGTGTCATAAACTGAAGGGGGAACCCGATGGTTCCTTAAGGCTTGAATTAAGGGACTTAAAATAATTAAAACAAGAGTTTGCCACTAACATGGCTATATCCCCCGCCCCTGTTGCAGAATTTATGACATAATTAAATCTGAACAAACCCTAACCTTTTTTAACCAAGGTGGAACTTGTCATGGAAATTGTAAAAAAAAGAAGAGTTTGGAACCTAAGTCAGTCTTGTTGCCATGGAAACGTACAAAAATAAAAATTTCTAAAATTTCTAAATAGCAAAAGGCACAAGTTCAGCATGTACCTGACAGACCTGCAAAGTTTGATGAAAAAATATTGAACGGTTTATGAGTTATGCTCCAGAAACGAACCCTACCCTCACAGAACCTAAGTCCATCTTGTTGCCATGGGAACATAAAGAATACAAATTTCTAAATATATTATCAATGACACAATTTTAATAGCGATAATAGTTAATATTTCTTCCCGTCGACGATAATTCCGATTATCAACTTTTTTTGCCAGCCCTAGTATTGACTAGAATTTTCAACTAGACAGTCATGCCAGCTTTTTGTTACCGGGCGGGCAGCTAATTCAGAAACTGCTTTGCACTTCTGTCTGTGAATCCAGAAAAGCAAGTTGCCTATGTCGAATACTGTATATTGACTGACATCTGTCAACGGAGTTACCTCCCCTACTCACCTCTTCATCTCTGTCTATTGAGCCAGCACTGAGGTTGCTGTTTTCCTGTTGCTGCTGTTGTTGCTGTGGTGTTGGCTGAGGATGATGCTGGGGGTGAAGCTGTTGAGTCTGCGGGGGGAGGCTCCCACCAACAACCGGGTGGTGTGGGGGGACACCCACAGTCAAGGGCTGGAACTGTAGGGGGACAGAAAGAAACTTTACTATTCCTTGTGTAATCTAGGACAGCTATTGAGCTAATTAGTGTAGCATAGTATGCAATATTATCGCGTTAATTAATTTATAATGGATCATAATAGTGCATGCTTACTAACCTATTAAATATTTCATACGCAAAATGTTTCTTGTTCTTTGTTCAACTTTTTTTACACATCAATTAGGATTGATCAATGCCGATTTTCTTTACCGAGTTTGGTAAACAAAAAACTTGTCATTAGCGACTCAACAGCGGGCAACTCTCAATTACAGCAGATTCACTATTTTGTTGTGTGATACATCACTTCCTGTTTTCGATTATACATAATCAGATTGCATATGACCTTGGTTGGGTCATTTACCAGTCAAGGGACATCATCCAAACAAAGGGGTCCCTATCTTACCAATTTCGAATGGGTTAAAACACTCCAGACACTATCATAAAAGCGTGTATACTTGTGTGTAGCCATGACATACCGTAACAACTCCTGTATTCGATGAAGCGAAGAAATATTGTGCTTAGATTTGCACAATCTCATTAAAATCAGACCTCAGTTCTTGCTAGTACTAAACAAAGATCTGAGGACATCCCATTAGGGGTCACATCAGAACAACCTTTCATCCGACCAATCAGAGCGCTGCTTACCAGATTATGAAAGTGACAGTCCGAATGTGATTTCTTATCATGCAACCTCGAAAACTTGAACTCCGAACGATAGTTACGGGTTTAACGACTGAATCCATACAATCTACACCATCTGTTAGCCATTCCAGAATATTCTTTTGTTCAGGTTTCAAATTTGTTATCGAGAATTTGTGAAAATATGTTTCAAAGCGTGGTCGCCAATTTGAAATTAGTGCCGTAAAGCACGAGAAAGCTACCTTCTGATTGGTCATTCCATTGGTCGGTCAAAGTTTGTGCAAGGTCGGTCTGACGTGACCCGTAATGGGATGTCCTCAGATCTTTGTTTAGCTGTAGCAAGAACTAAGATCTGATTTTAATGAGATTGAGATTTGCAGAAGTAAACAGTCAACAGGGAGTGTTTACCTTAACAACCAAATCAACATGTCATCAGGGTAGGAAATGTCCTGCTTCTTTAAATTGGATGTCAAATATTTTGTACATTTTTCAGTTATTGCATCTCAAAAGTACAGGTGCTTTTATCAAGATTTGTCATTTTCTAAATCTTGAACTGTCAAAGCAATTAGCGATCTGCCATAACACCTAATCAATATAGTATTGAAATAAGGTCGATTATAATGATGTTTACAGTCATATTCCATTGATTTATCTAGGCCTGATCAGAGGCCGATAGTCAACTCATTAAAAATTCCCAAAATGGATTCCCAGGAACTTAATGTTTTCCAATTCGTGTAACTAATAACTAATATTATGGCTTTCTAGATATAACCTGTATTCTTTTTCACTGATAACAGGACCACTAAATAGGAAGAGGTGTTATTACTTATTCTTATATTATTACGTTGAATGCAATCTCTGAAGAAAATAAGAAATCAAAATATTTTACAAAATAAACAAACAAAAAATTCTCGGAGGAACATTGGGTTTAGAGGCCTAGGTAAATCTGGTACTCTCATAAGCTCGGCCATCAGACAGTTCACAAGTGGATAAAAAAAAAACAGCTGTCTCTTTGCGGAATGCAACGAGCCAGTAATCACAGGGAGACAAAAAACAATAACAAATAAATTCATAATAAAAGTATATCATGTCTTCTTTGGTAATAAATTGAACATTATATAATTGTTCATGTCATACTATGTTTACAACATCGGTGCCTAAATTCCGGTATTTAGACACTGGTGTCATAAACATTGTATGACATGAACAATCATATAATATCCTCTATATATTTGGAGCTTAATTGTCTGGACTTGCCACAAGCAATTTGTACTCTACCAGTGCACTGTCAGCTAAAGGTTCATTAAACTGGTTTCCATACATTCATTCAAATTACTGAGTGTAAATTCGAAAATGAAACTAAACATTCCCGTCGTGAATAATAGAGATGTAGGGATGAAAGCAAGAGAATATTTCAGAACAAATCTTCAAATCTTCACTCTCGCTTGGGAAATACAAGAATTCTGACACCCATTTAATAAAATCCATATGACACACATGTGAGTGTAATAATTTCTTTATTACCCATTATTTCTTAATCCTTTCAAGCTCCCCTTTAGAAAAATGCACTGATCACGACTGTCCTAGAAAACCACAATTTGTGGAATGACATCAACAGTCTTCGGCTATGACGTCACTTCTAGTGTGATGTCCTACCCAGGGTTCACACATGTATTCAATGAAGAGCATCCGCCCGGAGCGCGGAAGGCCCGGGGTTCGATCCCCGGCCGCGTCATACCAAAAGACGTTAAAAGATGGTACTTGTTGTTACCCTGTCTGGCGCTCGGCATTAAGGGGCTAAAACAAGGACTGGTCGGCTCGGAGTCAGTATACTGTGTCTGAGTGGGGTATTCATGTTAAACTGCGGCATGGTATCTCAGTGAGCTAGCACTATAAATCGGCATCAGTCCGGGCTAGTTCAAGCAGCCACACACACACGTACATGCACATCACTATATAAGTGCAATAATCTTGGACGCAACTTTAAACCCAATTTCACCTCACCTCACCTATTCAATGAAGAGTGATGAGCCTGCCATGTCCTAAATCCAGGTCAACACACTGACATCCTGGGGCACAAGCCAGTCTGGCAAAACACCAGGTTGAAACCTGACCTAGCTAATCAGGGAGACAAACAAATGGAAGGGAGGAACATGTGATCGGATGTTTTTCAATCATGTTCATTTGTTCATTCATTCATTCATTCATTCATTCATTCATTCATTTTGTATGTCTGTATGTGCGTGCGTGGGTGTGCATGTGTGTTAACTAGTCTGTATACAATCGACCTAGGAAAGGGCCTCCCTACATAAATGTATTCTACTAGTGTTGTGTGCATAATACACGTATACAAACAGCTTTGATTTTATTTCACAATATCTCTGCGTATGATTGAAATATTTAGCTGTTATTTCACAAGTAGAGTTTACGTTGGTCTGCCCTAACAGTTCTAACCTAAAATTGCATTTTGGCATTACTTTCAGTATCCTTTAGTTTTATTTAATTACGGTATTCAACGAAATAAGCGCCCCATTCTAATAAGCGCCCACAGCGATATTTGCTAATATATTGGCTAGTGAACAATCCCAATTAGCACCCCTTCCGTTGTTCAATGTACACAAGACTTATTTATTCGTGTATAATACGCACTTGTGTGTTATATGCACCCTTAATTATGGGAAATTAAATTCTGAAAGAATATATCTGTTGTATATAAAGATTTCAGACTGTCAGCATTAACCACGAAATTTACGATCTTTCAACTCTGTTGTTTTTCACCAAAATAATATTCAAATAAGAGCCCCTATTTCTAATTTTGAGAGCGCCCTGGGCACTTATTATGTCAAATATGGTCACACTAGGAGACTGTGACCTTACGAGACTAAACCAAATAATACAAGACTCGGGGTTCAGACTTGTGGCTAAAGTCACAGACTGTTTGTCCATGTGGGTTTTATTGTTGTTTTATGTCAAGTCAGCAATATTCAACCTCCATGACGTCCTGTAAATAATGGAGTCAAACCTGACAAACAAGTGATTAATATTGTGACTAAAGTCGCACGTCAAGTCTGAGCACCGAATAAATTTAGACACCCCTTTCAACAACCAACAGAGTGGTAGGAACCTATTCCGAAACAGGACCCATGAGGTAGGTCCAGCTATATCATAGTACGCAGGGACAGAAGTACACCTTGAAAGTACACCATGAGAAGTGTTTGTTTGTTTGTTTGTTTGTCAAACGCCACACTCAGCAATGTTCCAGCTACATGACAGCGGCATGTAAATAACCCAGTATGGACCAGACAATCCAGTGATGGACATCATGACAACATGTATCAATTAAGTCACCCATCCTGATCCCCCAATCCCGGTAGTCACCTATTACGACTTCTTTCAGATGTTAATCCTGGATGCATTGTAGATTAGAAATAGATCTTTGGCACAAACCCCACACACTATCGGCAACCCAACCTTTGTATTTAGTTTGTCTCTAGACAATTATCCCCAGAACCATTGTCAGAACCATCAGAGTGTACCAAATCTCTACTGAATTTTGATAAATACCTTGGACCCACTCAGATAAGATAAATAGAGAATTTCACCAGAGTGTCTTTTGATATCAAATATATCAACACGAGTTGATAAAAGTGGGAAAACTCCAAGGCTTGCCGAGGATTTTTTCCACTTTTATCAACGAGTGTTGATATATTTTATATCAAAAGACATGAGGGTGAGATTTTATTTATCATCCAACATCATTCTTCAAACTTTTTCAGTTTGTAGACAGTAATAGGCAGTGTCTTAAGTGTAAAAAGTACTGCTAACAGCTTCAGTAGCAGAGTCATTAGTGGTGTCATTTGATTGTGACGTCATGGTAACTAATGACGTCACAATGGTCTGATAAGCATTGTGATGCAATTTCATTGCAGCGATATCTACAGTGTAGATATCGCCTGATCTCACCCAAGCCATATCTCCTGTGGGAGCCAGTTTGGGATGATAAACTAGTGTGTGTCCGTCCCTATATTTCCTAATCACAGTGATCACATGAAACAAGTACAATAATCCATGACTGGGTATGCTGCACAATCTGAAAAGTGGCTGTCTGATCCTTATCTAAGCCGGTGGCTTCCACAAAGAAGATGGGCACTTCTGATCCTGAGATATGGCCTCCTGGGCCCTGATCCTCAAAGTGATCTTAGCGCTACGATGATCGTAAGCCTATGTTAAAGTATGGGACTTACGATCACCTCAGCGCTAGGATTTCACTTTGAGGAATGGGGCCCTGATAGTGTTGTCTTGTTTGTTTGTTGTTCAAGGCCATGCAAATAATCAGGTCTGGACCACACAATCCAGTGATTGATATTGTTAGCAAAGATACACACCATCGGGTACGAGTGAGTATGGTTTTACGCTGCTTTTATCAATATCCCAGCAATATCACGACAACCCACTAAAAATGGGCTTGACACATTGTACCCATGTCGGGAATCGAACCCGGGTCTTCGGCGTGATGAGTGAACGCTTTAACCACTAGGCTACCCCACAGCTCCCACATCGGATACAATCACACCTGACCACTTGATCCATTTGGTCGACTCTCATAACCCGCCTAGAGACCAATTCCAAATGGCATGACTCATGGGTGATACAGTATCATTAAAATAGTGAGAGTGAGTTGGGTTTAACGCTGCTTTTAACAGTATTTCAGTTATATCACGGCGTGTCAGCTTAATGTTGGAGGAAAACCCAAGTGATGCAGGTCTCAGACGTTTACCGCTTTGGTGAAACCCACAAGCACGGGTATGGTGCTGCTAAACCTAGCATTAAAATAAATCTCAACACTTTTAAGGACACATAAAGTCAGTGTAGCGGTGAGCCAACACAGCTTTTTTTCACAAAACAGCTTAAGGGCTTTTGTCTGTCCACATTGTCATGACAACTGATATGCATAGGGAGAACCAAAAAATACATACCCTTCCTCCGAGAAATCTTTGTTCGAGCAATTCTTGTTTCCTGGGGTCCAGACCTAAATTGTCCATATTGTAGCCTGTAATAGAACGAATACAGTACATCCTTCACTGTCGGACATCACATACAATCTCAGGGTTAGAAACTAACAGTTTTTTCCACTAGTCCTTATAATGATAACATAGCAAAACCCTTAGATTTGGCCAATTTCTACTAGTCCTTAGGATACCTTTACCATTGGGCTGTTTGGTAAAGACTATAGGATTAGTGCCAATTTCTAACGCTGAGATAATCTATAATTCACAATCAAGACCTACTTAGAAACACTAAACCATTATACAATCAAAACCAGATAGAGCCACTCGTCCAAATCCCGAGTCTAGTAAATTTCTGTTTGGTCAATTAAGCTCAGCTGATCCACAGTCCAGTGACTGCATAATCAAGACTTGTAATCTGCCATGTGAATTCCTTGACCTTAGATGACTTGACACTCTGTCTATGTCTGTGTCCTGTCTTCTGTCTCCTGATCAATGTTTTGCTATGCATGTAAAGTATAAATTAGCGACGAGATGTTTGAAGCAGCACCCTTCACGGCTCTATCAATTTTGTATCCATCAGCCTTGATGTTCTTATAGGACAAAATCTTTAGGAAACTTCAGTTCATTTTATGGTAACAAACTGTTCCGAGTCCCTGAAATAGTTACCTTTGATTTTGCCAGCACATATACATATTGACAAATCAGTAGACAAAGCGGAAGAAACTAACATTTTTAGTCCACTAGTCCTTATAATGATACAAATAGTATCTGCTGATAATAGTATAATATGAAGGCTCTAAAATCTACTGAAAATGATGTTTTGAGAATATTGGGTACACACACAAGTGCAAGGGCATGACGCTGAACGTGATTTGTTAATCCAGACATTTGTTAATCCGGATAATATCACTTGTAAGATCTGTACAGACAAAACTCGACATTACACACCCCAAGGGACCTGACTCAGGTCTTATCCGTTCATTTTTCACCCAAGGTCATCTTAAATGCATCAAAAAGAAAGTGCTTGTTGATCTTAACGCAGTCCTCTGCAATATTCCAGTTAAATGATGGCGACTTGTAAATTAGTAAGTCAGTGAGTGAGTTGGGTTTAACGCTGCTTTTAAGAATATTCCAGTTTCCAGTTATATCGCGGCGTGTCAGCTTAATGTGGGAGGAAAGCCTGAAGTGATGCAGGTCTCGGACGTTTGTCACTTTGGTGAAACCCACAAGCAGGGGAATGGTGCTGACAAACCTAGAAACATAATCGGGCGAACGGGGATTTGAAACCACAATCATAGGTTTTCGTTGGGCCAAGGGACACAACTCTGCACAGCGAATCGCGCCTGACCACCTGGCCTCTCGGTCCCTCCCTTGTACAACCAGCATCAGGTGCTTGACCAGTGTGTGAGTGAGTGAGTGAGTATGGTTTTACGCCGCTTTTAGCAATATTCCAGCAATATCACGGCGGGGGACACCAGAAATGGGCTTCACACATTGTACTCATGTTGGGAATCGAACCCGGGTCTTCGGCGTGACGAGCGAACGCTTTAACTACTAGGCTACCCGACCGCCCTGCTTGGCCAGTGAATTCAGTCTCATACACTTAATAAACATACTGAACATTTTTTGTATACACCAATTATATCATGGTATCCATCAGCAAAATGCTGTTATTATTCATCAATAAATTAACTCTGTTCTCAGAAATATGTCCCGACCATGATGGATGACTTGATGTAAGATGACTGGGACATGCAACTTGTGGTGTCTGACTATTAGCATAAATTAAATTAAAATAAATTAAATTGAGAATTTGTGAAATATATTTTCTAATTAACAACTGCTCAAATGCGCTTAGACGATGATTGATCTACTAGTCAAAGGATCTCTTGAAGCCACAGGTTTTGAATGTCTTTTAAAGTTTGTCAGATTTTCTGCTTCTCAGATTTCTTGTGGCAGATTGTTCCCTAGCAATGGTCCAGCATGTTGAAATGACCTATTGCCATCTGTTTTGGTAAGTGACTTTGGCACCATTAGCAGATGTCGATCTTTTGATCGGAGAGAACATGCAGGCTTGCATGGGTAACATCAGTTCCTGTAAGTATGCAGGAGCCAAATGTGGCAGAGAATCTCATCAGATATCAAACATATCAACACAAGTCAATAAAAGTTCAAAACACTGAGGCTTGCCAAGGAGCTTTAAACTTTCATCAACGAGTATTTAAATATTTGATGTAAATTTTATCAATAATCCGAAATCATTCTTACCACTTTTTCAGTTTATAAGCAGTCTAAGCAGTGTCTTGAGTTTAAAAAAGTAGTGAGTGGGTATGGTTTTACGCCGCTTTTAGCAATATTCCAGCAACATCGCGACGGGGGACACCTGAAATGGGCTTCACACATTGTACCCATGTCGGGAATCAAACCCGGGTCTTCGGCGTGACAAGCAAACGCTTGAACCACTGGGCTACCCGACCGCCCCAGCTTAAAAAGTACAGCTTACCAGCTTCAGAAACAGAGATTAGTGACGTCATTTGATTGTGATGTCATGGCAACCGATGACATCACAATGGTCTGCAAACCATTGTGATGCAATGTCATTGCAGCGATATCTTCAGGGAAAGATTGCTTAATCTCAACAAGCCATATCTCCTATGGACTTTTTCTTCCAGGAAATATGATTTCCTACAAAATACTGAAACAATATTTCCAGTTTCAGGTTTCCATAAATATTCATACAAATATGTCAAAGAATCAAAGAAGGGGTATTCATTTCTTCTTAAAGGTAATCTGACAAGCACTTATCTCTGAATGAGTCTCTAAAGTCTAGATGGTACCATGGGCAAATGTACACAGAAGACAGTATTAAAAAGATTTCAGTGTACATCACCATTATTTACCTGTTTACACAAGAATAAACGGCTGATCCTCCCCTGGATATAAAGGTAAAGGGTTTTATTTCCATAAACAACACAGGCATCATACTTCCGGGGATTACTCTCGACAGCCCATGAGACGATACCAGGTTCAATGTCTGCAGCAAATGTCAGTACAAATTCCCAAACTGGAATCTTAAATTTCCCAATTCATGTTATTAAAGTCACAACTCATGTTATGGCTTTGAAAAGATGAACTGCAATAAAAAGGAAGAAGCTTTAATCCTCAAGTTTGTTGGTTGCATTGAATGCAATCTTAAAATACATCTGAACTTATGAAAGTCATAACTTAAAAAACTTCCAATTTTAACCAAGAATTTTGTTTTCCCAATCTGGCTGGCATGGGCACTTAGTTCAGAATCCAAGAAATACCTGACTTAACATTCTTCAATCCCATCAAGGGAGTTAAAACATATTAAGGCTCGGTTGTCATGGTAATGGTGAGAGCATATCGATATACTGTATCATATTCGCTGTGCCCTGCTTCTAATAGCAGTCTTATTAGATTTGAACAAACTATCATAGAATCCTGGCAGGCCAAGGGGAGGTAACTCAAACAATATCCATGAAAGTTCTAAAACACACATCTCAAGGAAACTATAAAATGCTGGATATTTGGCCATAAATTAACCATAAGCTACATCCCTGACCATCTCATGACCAAACAGCCCACCTCATATAGTTCTGCTGTCCGAGTACCTACAGACGAGACAATTTACACATTTGTTCACTTCTTTAAGTACTTCATGGAAAGTCTACCAAGGCTTCGTGTTTCAAGTCAATAATTAGTTTAAGAAAATACAAATATTTTTAAAAAATGCCTCCCACATCACATTTTTTGAAAATTCTGGATAGTTCTAATAATTAATCTAATGTACTAATACAATAGGGTAAAAAATATATTTCAGAGCTTCTGTCTTGGAATAATGTTCTCAAGAAGTAATAATCCAATATATTTTTTAAGCCAATTCTTCAGCATGATTAAAGCGGTGTAGATTATAGTGCAAGACAAAGAGAAAACATATTTAGCTTATGCTCAGGTCTTCTACAAAACAGTAAATCAAGCACAAACTGCCACCTACGTCTCAACCAAACCAACAAGGCAATTAAACTGAAAAATGTTGCCATAGCAACCACCATGTAGGAGTTCAGATACATGCAAGTCTCAGGTCACCATGGTCACTGACTCAACATCATACATCTATTTCGGATTTCTGAGTGAGTGAGTGAAAAGTGAAAAGTCCTGCTTGACAACGGTATAAAGATCTAAACTGAAACGTCACAATAACTGTACATTAAGAAGATGTTATCTATAAAACATTTGCTTCTACTTTGTCACTGGTCACCTAAGAAATGTCTATAAAAAACTTCCGTTTGAAAAGTGTTTCAGGGAAGTGATGACATGTCATCTTAATGATGTAGAGATGTGATGCAAATTGAAAACATTTGCCTCTGTCACAATACACAACAAAGGCATGACCCCTTAAGTCAACGTTAATAATTACCTTTCAACATCAGATTCATGGCAAGGGCGCCTGGACTTTCACGCATAATTTCGAACAGACACCTACCTCTAAAATCCATGTTCACAAAACAGCAAATATCCTTTGAATGAAATCGTAACACCATGTCCTGGGGTGGCAAGTGTAGGTAGCTCTACGTCAGCCGCCACACAGAAGCCGGCTCACAGCATCCCACACGGGGCATGTCCAATCCTGCCCCACCCCACCACACCGAGGTAATTCTTTTCAATTCAGACCGTGCTGCACAGCCATTATCTTACAGGCTCTTCAAACAAGCTTAATCGTCGGACAAACTGCTAATTGCTTCTGAGATTAGCTGACCGTCTCAGAGTCAGCCCTGATTCACAGATCAGTGTAAATCTAAGCCCATTGATGGAAATGGCTGTTGGATAATTTTGAATGGGAATTGTTGCTCTGTTTTCTGTTACTAAGAGTGATCTTTTTCGTTAATTTCTTAATTCCTCTGATGCAATGTTCAAAATTAACATGAAAAGAAATTAGGTCCATATGCACTTGCAATCACATGCTGCATTTGTTTTAAGATGGTTTACGAGACTTTACTGATAAAATAACATAACTCGA